GTAATTGCCCAAATAAGATAGGGGACTTACGGATTTTTTGCGGTTCTTCTTATTTCTTTCTAACGAATGGTTGCCGGGCTTTTTCTCAAACACTACTACAGTAGCCGTATACGTATGACCTCAACATAAGTTTGCTTGACATGCGATGTTCGTAACGGACATCAAGCATAGCATCCAATGCATTTGATTGTTTGAAACATTTATGGGTGTTACGCAAAGGTGATGCAACGCTTCTGATCTATTTCTTGACAATGTACACGACGTTCAATAAAGATTATTTATATTAATTATATGTGACATCAGCTATTGATTATATGTGGCAAGACGATAATGGAAGTGACGTCACAGGAACAAGAAATTATTTGCACTGACATCACAGAGACATTCGAGATTATATGATTTAACACAGGACTATCAATATGTTTTAAGGGAATTTTACAGAAAGGTCCAGTACAGCGTAATGAAATTTGTAGATCTCAGTATAACATACTTTTGACATGAACATAATTGAATTGATTATCATTATAACAATCCCCGTTCATTATATAAAACTGTTCACCTTATAATTGCTTAAAATAATATTAACCCCCTCCTTGTGATTGTTTGTGTGGCTGTCTTCCTTTGTCGTCCCCCCCCCCCCCCCTTCCCTCCTTTCTTCGAGTTCAATACAACTTGGTAAACCACTTGTAAGAAAGCTAGAGAAAGTGGTACAATCATACTGAAGTATATTGCATTTAGTGTTAAACTGTATTTAACCCTTATCCGACAGAACCATCATATCATTTTTCAAATCTACGGCACGCAACGGGAGCAGATAGTGATAGGTTACGATGTGACTATTTACAAGATTTGCACAGTTATTCCAAATAAAGTTATATCTATTCTTTTTTTATGAACTTGCTTATGTTATGCGTGTTGTAATTAAAACCATTAATTTAAGGACAATATATATTTTTGAACCTTTATTTAATGATATACACTTGCCCACGATAGTCACAAGAGAGTCCATTTATAAGAGGAAGAGAACAAGGTTAGGGGTCAGACACATACTTTCGCCAGGCACCATACTTGCCAACTAGGTGCGCCTTTTTTCAACAATGACGGAGCACGAAGTAAGAGCTTATACTAAAGAAAGCTCATGTTCATGAAAAAGGTAGCATGTTGAAGGGGCGTGAGGGATTGAGGTATTTGTATACTTACCCTTACTATTGTTTGAACAAATTGTGTGTTTTATGCTCAATGGAGAAACATGCAATTTGCATGTAATTGTGACTGAGCATTTGAACGTACCTTGTACAAATGACAAATTAAACCAACCACATACTGATTTTGTTAGCATCACATAATTATAATATTTTCAACGTCTCGAACCTTCACATGCGTATTTTTTTAATTTAGACTCCTTTGCTTTTATTACTTTACTTTCCGTATAAGGGCTGAACTCTTCTCGCCTATATATCTATCGATAGAATGTGAGGAAGCAGGCTTTAGTTTGCTTCCTCCCATTCTTCTCCCACCCCGCCTGCATAGAACAGCCCTTCTCCCGGCACAGTGCTTTCAGTTCGCGATGTTTTCTTTGATTAAGTCTGTTATTTTTTTCTTTGGTTTGACAGTTAGATAACAAGATGTATAGATTTGTTGAACTTTAAATAATTGAAAAGGTAAAAAAAAAAAAAATACTTGGTCCTGTTGTAAGGGATTGTGGATATTGGCGTGAGCTTGGGACCTTTCCCTATGGAACCCCCACTGGCTTAGGACGACACAATACTGGTTTAAGTCTTCCTTGGCTTTCTGGTTGAAATTCATCTATTACCTCTTTTCTCAAATTAATATGAGCATCCTGACCTGTTGAAATTAAGTTTAATTAATTAATTTGAATTTGTTGTTAACTTATTCTTATTTTATCGAAATACTGGCTTTTAAAAAATATACCATTGATATATTTTTCCATTTTATTTTGGAAATCCTTACTGATTAAAAGAACGGTAAATAAAGCAACTTAGTTCTACAAATTATGCCATTGGATATTGTTAAGATAAAATAGCACACATACTGGCAATGTTTGCTACGTAACTGCTCCAACGTTTGCTGGTCCACCACTATAAAATGTCCTCACTCAAGTTGCAGTGGTACATTGTGTCGTTCGTCTTCTCTAAGAACTATCTGGTCCATCACATTCCTTTTACCTAAACCATCTTTACTCTGTCGGATTCCCAGGAGGTAACCACATTTTCTGACGTCAATTATTCGCTTCTTATATGAAATATCTTCCCTCTCCTATGCTTGGATGGCCTGACACGTTAAATTACTCGGTTGTGGACATTAAACCTCGAATAAAGTCTGGTGTCATCACACCAGCACCGAGATCTCTGATGTGAATATATTGGTAGCGAGGACCATAGATGACTCTGCTGGCCAGTATTAAATCAGAATTATTTCCGCGCACAGCGGCGCGGAAGAGGTACAATGTCAATAAGTGTATAAAAGTCACTTCATATATAAACAAAACAGTGGGATTTCTTATGTTTTGACTCCAGGTATAACACCCATCGACACTTGGATTGATCTGCTGACATTTACAAAATTTACAATAGTTTGAAATTATTTCATCTGCAAAGAAAAATAGTGAGATGTTGAGCAAATGGCTAGCTTTGTTGTGGTCTGTTGCCATTTGACATACTCTCTGTGTTTTTACAGAATTGAAACCTAATAAAATTGCCAATTTAACACAAAAAACCCATACATCCCACAAAAATTAAAAACCTGTTTTGATCATGTTCATTTTAAGTTGTCATGAACCTGGCTGAAGTAAAATATTCTTATATTTGCGAGCTGAGCTGATTGTCAAGAATTTTACTCCTGTGGAACTTCTGGTGATGAGTTTAGCGTCAATAATTTGGTTAAAACAATTTTCAAACAAATGGTTTTATCAGTAAGTCGACTTCCTAATACAAATGGAGAACCATCACAGCCGACAATAGTGCAGGAACGACTTTCACATGTTTCAGTAATGACATGGTCAAAGACTTACTCAACAGCTGCATAAAAACAGGGGTTCACCATTATTGGGATGCCTGTAATAACAAACTCTGGTCCATTTTACCAAAGTAGCATCTTAAAACAAAATTTTGATCAGATGTTTTGGATGAAAGCTCAACAAGTGGTTATTCAGCTGATCTTTTGTCCATAAAATCAAAAACTGAAAACACACAGCGAATTATTTCTTTTATGATTTCTCAATATGTAATCACAGTGATGAAAGCGGACATTTACGTGTTCTGCATTTTTTTCTGGTTGAAAATAATACAACCCAGAAGATGGAGAAAATTCCGGTTTGTATTGCACATTACTAGGCAAAATGTGAATGAAGTTGGTGACGATACTAATGATTGCTTTGGCATTATGGCACACACGCCAATTTCTAGACATCACTTTGTTGTTGTAAAAGTATGAAATCCTGTTAGATTGCTAAGGTTATTTCAGACAAACTCTAGTAAACTGTTAAAACTTTATTTGTTTCGTCTATCCACTGCACAGCATCAAAGAATTTTGAATATTTGCCATCTTTGTAACAATTCTGTCATCGCACTTGTTTATTATTTCTTTCTGGGATTTTCCCAAATCAGCAGCAATTCTGTGTCTAATTCTAGCAATTCAACAACGACGTCAGCTTATCTTTCATATTGATGTAAATAAGTCATAATCATGGGTGAATGACAAGGTGATACCTCCGGTCCCAGTCTATGCTTATTATGGCATTCCACATTCTTTTGATCGCATCAATTGCAACTCATGCATTGGGCAGATTGAAGGATTTATTTAACGGTCCATTGGAACTTGGAAACTTGTCATCTCCTTAATTACCGAAGGCAAGTTGCTTTCGTTATTGTGAGCAACCCACATCAGTGTAACTTGGAGATTGACAAACAAAGAGCATGTTACAAGGTGTTTACTTAAAACATTGAACCAAGACCAGCGTTCTACGTTTCCTTTCGGTGTTGGTTTGTACGTGTACACGTGTATGTGTGATGGTAGTGTTAAATTGCCTCCTTCTGATGCCGACTTTATAGTTCTACCTCTCACTAAAACACTATGCCGAAGGCACACCACCCGTGCAGGTCGCGGTTCGAGAACAGAATACACCTACTGCTACCCACTGCATGTAGAGGCAACTAGTGTGGGAACCCATGCAGAATTGGGGATTTGTTTTTTGTGCCCTCTACTTAGGGACACAAAAGCGACCAAAATAAAATATGTTGTTTGTACCCATTGCGATAATTGGGATCTTTATCTTTCCCTCTACTTCTAACTCCTTGCTTGGCCATACCTCACTTTTGACGTTAGTGTTGAGAGTTCGCTTAGGTGAGGAAGACAATGGGTCCTAAAATTGAAAGTTGTTATTCCCTGCTTTACGTTCAGAATTTAGGGTTATTGCAACAACTGGTTCATACGGATAAGGAGGGAAAAGAATCAAATATTGGTGTTGTCCGTGGGGGCGGGTGTTTGTAAGCCAAAATTCTATTTGTATTTGACCGGGTTTCAAGGTACAACATGTGTTATAATTATAATTGGATAAACGAAACAAGGAATGTCAATATAATGGCCGGAGTAGCGAGAGTAGAGATTTCACAGTACAGTTAAACTAGCATGTAGCAATACTGTCCCGTACGTACTAACTTATCATAATACGGACACGATCGTCACAGCAATGAGCGTGTCTTTCTATGCGTCTTCAATGTCTGAATACTCAAATCCTGATCATCTTAACACGTCGTGATTTAATTCAGGATTGTTAAACATTTCTGATACCTTTAACAAACCTAACGGGTAGGGAAGGAACGCGATAATCAGAAGATGAGAAAAGCAAAATCAAATGTTTCGATATTTCAAATATTAGGAGAGAAAAAAGAAATTAAAAAAAATGTCTGTTTGTCTTTAATAAGCTAACTAAGCATTACATATTAAGAACACGAGTGAAGCTTATCTGACACAGACTAGATAGCTGTATGTGCACCACGGAGGTCAAACACACCATGATTCAAGGGCTGGTTATTTTCGGTAAATCAAATTTCCTATGCTATTATTAATGTATCATTTTATATAATTTTAAATACATATTATAATGATTATTAATTGACATTCATGTTAGGGAGATATGTAGTTGTATGTTAGTTGATGTCAATATCTAGTTTAACTGTCAAACGTCATGTCGTGTCGTTGTATAATTCATGTTTGTCTTATGAAGGAAGTATGGAATGAACAAAAAATTGGCTGCATGAAATTTGATAATATTTTAAATCCATCAAAACTCTTTTTAACCCCAAAATGAAATAATAGATTCGAAAAGGTTACTTGAATGTATACATAAATGTGAATAAACAATGTTAACTGTATACGCCTGACCCCAACGAAGAATTCTAAGGCTGTCAAGAATTTTTCTCAACCTGATGAAAAGGATGATTGGGTAACATCATACTTTCTTTTTTAACTCCAATATCCAATTGTTTTGTTTTATATAAAGTGTTAAAAAAGCTTTCTTTATGCAATTACAGAAGGTAGTCTCTGAATTCAGATAGCTCTAATCATATTACATGTAGAGCACCCTGTGGACTTTGTCTTCATCTAGTTTGCACTGAAACATGTTTTGTCGACTTACGTTGTTTTTGTGACTAGTGGACAAGTGTAAAGCTTAGTTATTTCAATTTTTTCTTCGCTTTCTAAGTGACCAGTCTAATAGTGGTGGAGTCTGCTTTGCCCCAGGGATGCGTCCAGCTACAAGAACACCCGTTTTCACAATCGAACCCTGGTGATGTCTTCGGAACATCTAGTGAAATCGGCAACAAAGCCAGACCAACTAAGGTGGAGAATCTACGTTCTAAAGGCGCTATTCCCACTGGGCATTTCATGACCAATGTCATCAAAGATCATCCGGTACCACTTAGGCTGTTTCCGTATGAAGGTAAACAATTATATAATACAATACGTACTGATGGCGCTGTCACACCATAACGTATGACACCAGCGTATGGCACTTTTTTCCAAACACGCTGGCAGTTCTATAGTGGTCACACGCTCGTCACGCGCTTTGATACGCTGTGATAAGTTACATAAAAATGTGTGATACGGTACTCAAACGCTAGTCATTCGGTATGGATACGTTCAGTTCGTTATGTAAACGGTAGCTTTTACACCAAATCCAATATGGCTGTTGATGTTTCTGGCGTGTGCGAGCGTATTGAACTATTTTCAATCCTTTTTTATACGGTATACGTTATGGTGTGACAGCTTCAGAAGACTGCATGCACTCGCTTTTCATTCGAATACACATGTTTTCATTGTTCTATGTTTTATTGTAGTAGGACGAAAAAAAGTGATAAAGATAGTGCCGTCGCTTGGGCTCGAACCCGCGACCCTTGGCTTCTCCAGCCCGATGTTCTACCGCTGAGCTAAAGGGAAATTCCCTACAGCTGACGCGTGCAAGGCAACCTTGCACTATATTTCCGTCCTAGGTCTTTCACATTTTTTTTCTCATTGCTGTATTCATCCTCTAGATTAAACTTCCATTTATTTTTTAAAAAAAACATCGCACAAATTTTCAAAATATCAGACGAATGATTGTTTTCGACAAAATTGTTTAAAATCAAGTCGCGCGAGAGTCGATTGAATGTCTAAGTACATTTAATGTATTGAATATTTTGTAACTACAGAAACATTTAAAGAATACGTGTCTAATTTGACAAATTGTATGTACTACAAAATAGTTCATGTCGTTTTCAATTTAATCCGCTAGTTAATACCTGGAACTTATGTACGCCTTCCATGAAACACTAGATACCTACATATATTCTGGTACCTGTGATAGTCTACGTATTAACTTGATATATATAAAGAAATAGAGTCCATCATGCAAAGTTCGTTGGCATTGACCGTGCCGGAAAAAATCATTCTTTAAAACAACATTTTCATAGGAAGTTAAGAATATCATAAGTACATTTTGTATGTACATAATCCAAATTGATTATTTCAATAAATACATCAAAAACTTTCTGATGTTGCGGCGGAATAATACAAGCTAAACGGGATCAAATTAGACAGGCAAAGTTATGTGGTCAATATCATGGAAACAAATAACTAGTAGTAGTTTCAACTTGAGTAGAAATGGAATTGCCTGAAAATCAATGTGAACAACTGATATCTCGCTTGCATTAAATTCCTTTGAGTATTCCATTCAATATGCTGCCAAATCATGCTTATATTCAGGTATCTAATATTTCCTCAATTGGCTTATTAAACACAGCATATACTTAAGTAAAAATAACTGAAAACATGCCGGAATTTGCAGCTCCATTAGCACGCTCATATCAGCACAATGTTATCACTAATTTTTGAAATAAAAGAAATAGACCTTTTGAAACATATTCTTCAGATATGAGTACAATTAGGTCAATACACGTCGATGGGTGCATTTTGTGGTGCTCCTGGTGGGATGAAGATAGTTCTTATGTACTGGTTTTTTTTTTTTTAATGAGGACACCTAAATGATTTGGTCACTTGATAGAAACGGGACGTACTTTTTGCACTTTTCTATTAAAAAAAATCCGAGTAGCACAGCACACCTGCTATTTACCTATTTTCAAACGCGTGCTTATTTATGACTTGCTTTAGATAATAAACTGTCTAGACTTTAATTGATATATCAATAAATATTTAGCTAAATAACGAATGTTGTATTTAATAATTCACAACAGCGACCATGGATAACTACGGCATGACTTACGACGCTTATACCATGGAGAGATGGTACGACCCACAACGCACAGACACAATGCAACAGCAGTCAGCCTGGAAAAGCGGCGAACCATGGAACAAACTCATGAGCCTCGGCACCAACCTAAAACAGACTACTTCCGGTCCTGATGGAAATCGTTACGGCACATTTTCAGGTGACACTTCGGTTGCTCTCATCTTGATTCCAGGCCCTCTCCCCTCCCAGTTTCGTTATCTGAAGACTTTTGTAAAATTATGATTCATCAATGATGTACTTATTGTTCAACATTTCAAATGACACCTGTAAGACACTCTCATGATATATGTTTATGTATATGTTTTGTTATTTCCTATGACCTGGTCTATTTTGTTTCTATTCTGCACTATTTCTGATTGTATTGTTTGTGATATTGATACTCTGTTATATTTCCGGTTACTCCACTCAAGTTTTTGTTCCCTATCCCACTTAACTGTGTGTGGTTTTTTTCAAATATTGGGTTACCTCCCTTTAATTTCGTTTTGAGTCGTGTTCATTTAAGTCCCGCAGTGTAATAGTAATCGAAGCTAAAATCGTTCCGGAAAAGTGGCAGTGGTCCCTAGACAGTGGGCCCTAGACAGTGGTCCCTAGACAGTGGTCCCTATACAGTGGTTCTTAGACAGTGGTCCCTATACAGTGGTCCTTAGACAGTGGGCCCTAGACAGTGGTCCCTGTACAGTGGTCCCTAGACAGTGGTCCCTAGACAGTGGTCCTTAGACAGTGGTCCCTATACAGTGGTCCTTAGGCAGTGGTCCCTAGACAGTGGTCCCTATACAGTGGTTCTTAGACAGTGGTCCCTATACAGTGGTCCTTAGACAGTGGTCCCTGTACAGTGGTCCTTAGACAGTGGTCCCTAGACGGTGGTCCCTGTACAGTGGTCCCTAGACAGTGGGCCCTAGACAGTGGTCCTTAGACAGTGGTCCCTAGACAGTGGTCCCTGTACAGTGGTCCCTAGACAGTGGGCCCTAGACAGTGGGCCCTAGACAGTGGTCCCTGTACAGTGGTCCTTAGACAGTGGTCCCTAGACAGTGGGCCCTAGACAGTGGTCCTTAGACAGTGGTCCCTAGACAGTGGTCCCTATACAGTGGTCCTTAGACAGTGGTCCCTATACAGTGGTCCTTAGACAGTGGTCCCTAGACAGTGGTCCCTATACAGTGGTTCTTAGAAAGTGGTCCCTATACAGTGGTCCTTAGACAGTGGTCCCTAGACAGTGGTCCCTGTACAGTGGTCCTTAGACAGTGGGCCCTAGACAGTGGTCCCTAGACAGTGAGCCCTAGACAGTGGTCCCTAGACAGTGGGCCCTAGACAGGGATCCTGAAGGGGAAATGTACCATAAAGATACAAGATGTATATCAAATAACGGTTTTACATCGATCAATATTGACGTGGAACATCACATCGATACAATTAAAATACGTACTGAACAGTGCGTGTAGTTGTTATTCACATTGAGTAATTTCTTCTGACACACTATAGCAAACACTTGAACCATTGTTTCGCTCATGGTTAATGAGTAAAGTATATATGCATGTCCTGAGATGTCACGTTTATTTTACTTGTTACCTGGGAGATCAATTATTTGGAACGATTGCTCTACCAATACTCCTCAAATCAGTATTGACTTGCCTGCTATGAATATATATGGATCTACATGGTAATCAGGGTTCTACACGACAGGTAATTTTGGTCTGATTATACACGGGATATAACTATCATAGCGTTGATATACATAGCTATTGTTATATATAGTATGTCTCTACAGTATATGGTGGTGTTTTTTTTAAGATAATGATAATTGTTATGAAACGAAATTCATTTTTAGTGTAATGTGGTATAGCAGTTTGTTTAAAGTGTATGGAACGTGTCATACGATTTCAATTAGGTTTATCCCATTACCTTTTTCGATTACCCGACGTTTGTTTGTTTGTGGTTAAACAGCTAGTGTCATATGAGGACGGTTGCCAAAGGAGACGCCGTCTGAAAAAGAAAGAATATCAATTTTGATCTCTTCCATGTCCTTTTAGGAGAAGGCACAGAAGAAAAGATATCACATAAGAGGCCTTTTACAAAACACATACAGTGGTTCTATTCTTGGAAGGAAGGAAGAAACCATCCCGGGGGGGGGGGGGGGGGCACATATTATTTGTCTCTTGTGATCATGCATTGGATACAGCAGGTCTTTTTTCATTTTTATGTGACCTTTTTTGTGATCGACTTTTGACCGTCTTGCCCACGTTAACAATTTCACAAAACTCTAAAAAAAAAATACAAGAAACAGCTATGGCTTAGGGAACGTCAAAACTATATGACCTTATATGTCCCCCCACCCCTGGGGAGTGCCATTGATTCTGGGAAGGTTGCAAAATTTACCATCTATTATTTAATGGAAAATAAATATTATTTTTCTGTTATAAATTGTTCCAAACTTGTTAGAATTATTATTACTTATCGACAGTTTAAAAGAATGAAAACTTGGACCATTTCACTTTTTTTGATCCCCTTCAGGGGTTCGAGGTGGAGGCAAACATTGGTTAAAATTTTAAAATCGTGTAGTGCCAAACCACCGAGGCTACACATGGTAGCCAAGATAGCTTTCACTTAGTAATATAGGTACATAGCTCAAGATATAGTATTATATTTTATTCATGTTAATAACAGTCATTTCGCATAAATCACACGTGTATTCCATGCTCTGATGTCCTCGTACTTAAATTAAACTCCAGATGTTTTGTTTTTTTATAATTAATGAATAGGCTTAAAGATGTTTTGTATTTTCTGTGTAACACGAATATTCTAGGTAGATCAGGTGTACGAGTTGGGATAGCCGGCAGTGGAGAACCGGTTATAACTGACATTGGAGATCTGCATGCCAACGTCATGTATACCGGAAATGGCGGATCGATGGAGGTAAATGACAACATTTTCTTTAGCGCATTATCGAGGTTCCGCTGTCAACATACACTGTTTTATATACTTTAAACTGTTACGAAACTAACAGTACTTGAACGCAAGTAACATAGCAAGTATCATTATGTACTTTCCATGAAGTTTTAATAAACAGGACATATTTTATGACTCAATGTTATCACATAAAATCTGGATAATAACAGATTTTATGTATACTGTTTGTATTGGAATTCAGGATATTAACCTCAACGGATGCTGAGAGACAAATTAAATGAACAACCAGGGTTGAAGTTTATTTGGTATAAACTTCAACGGTTTTGAAATGAAGTTAATGAACAGCATATACCCCATAAACTTCAACATTAGCAGTTCATATTTTTCCATGACCCATTGAGGTTTATACCAAATAAACCTCAACAGAACAGGATTTATCCTTATACGTAAGTTCAGCGCGATTTTGATCATTTATTTGATAAGTTCTATACACAGTCGACACTTCAACGTTGATTTTCTACGCTGCATAACCTTCGTTTTGAACGTAATTTTGGTTTGCAATTTTAACTTTGTTTCAACGTCTTTATTTCAACGTTGAATTACGGTTGGATTTTTATTTTGGATTCGCAAATATAATCAACGATGATTCAACGCTTTACTGTTTCAGCATCTAACATGCATCAATGAAAAACCGTTTGCTTTATATTTGCAATACAAGTCAAAATAGAATCATTAAAACATACAATAATTCGATAGATAAGCATGAAAGCCATACAAGTTATTCCTTGGGCTGTTTTAATGTATTTGTATCTGTGTCATTACCTTGCTTTCATTATAGGTCCTTATTATCGCTATATACATTGGTTTTCACACTTCCCTCAAGTTACTTCTTTCAGACACATTAAACCTGTACAGGTTCGGGAAAATAATATGCCTGCTATATCCCACTGCATGATCGTAAGAGGCGACTAAGATAGGCTCCAACTGCAGAATCGGGCTGGTTTCTTCCTTGTCTTCTGTTTAGGGACATTGTAGAAACCAAGAATAAACCTGCTGTATCCCACTGCATGTGTATCGTAAAAGGCACAGGTTTTGAAATAGATAACGTCTGCTGAATCCAGCTGCATGCTTTTTTCATAAGACGTGACTATTATGGGGTCCCCGTATATTTAGGGGTTTTCTTCTGTGACTATTTAGAGGTATAAACAATACAAAATTGATCAGCTTTGCCCCCAAAATACAACACTTTAGTTATTTATCTGACGTTTTGGAATTTATATTTTTCCGATTTCACCCTTATTTGCTTTAACGTTTTACCCCTTCGAGAGAAAGTATAGGCTTATTGTTTTCCACCGAGGTTAACGTAACAGTCAAACCTATGTGACACCTTCAGGATCAGAGGTTTTCTTCTGTGTTCTATGTTGAAGATACTCAAGTTTGATATGTTGCCCCATTTGTAACACTTGGGATCTATATATAATTTATATTTTTTCTCAGTTCTCTACTTTTAACTGTCAGTGATGTCTCCCTAGGTACCCGTCTCCATAGATATAAATATGACCCTGGGTTTTGCGAGAACGTTAAACACAGTACAAAATCGTAATATGATAGAACTTCTAGTATATTGTTAATATTAGCAAAATTTCGTAAACGGTCGTAAAAACTGTATCATGCAATGCAACCCATTTCTTGCATACGGTATTTATTACCGATTTTTAAAGGTTCAGTCACCTCTGTGTGTGTTATGTTTTTATCACATACCTGTTGAATCTTGTTATAGTAATACAAGCAATTTTCAGACAATGAAATACAACGTTCTGTTTTGCACATGTGCAATACGGAATGTTGAATTTACCTACTAGCCGGAACTACTTTTTATGGGAATCCCCTTGTCATGGAGAACTGAAAAGGTATTTGCGAAAAAATATCAAAGTTATAAAATCTTTGTATCGATATTCACTCGTGCTCTCCGCGCACTCGTGAATATATTCGTCCGCGCAATACACTCGTGCTTTCTGATTCGTTAGAAAAACACAAGTGTGTGGTCTTGCATATATATTTCATGACGCATGGCGGTAGACTCCGCTTGTGGATTTCCTAGTCCCCGAGGTTTGCCGTAGTTTTGATGACCACAGTAATATCTTTTGAGTTGTGGCACGGTTCATTCTATATACACTTAACTAATTATTAAGTTTAAAATCCTCCAGTACTTAACTTTTTGAAATTCATTAAATTGAAGGTTGTACTCACCTTCCCTTTTGTTCGACAATAGTAAAGACAAATTCGGATATTCAACTAGAAGGACGAAACAGCTGTGTGATGCAGTAAAATTCATTTTGGCAGACTATTACCAGACTATTACCAGACTATTAACACATGTTTAAAGCTGAAATCACGTGTGGGTGTGTTAAGTTCATCTTATATACATTAAATGAAATGTTATTTTCTTTTACTTGTTAAAATTAATCTAAAACGTTGTACCTTCAACATTGTAGCCTTCAATATTGAGAACTATTGCTGTATTTTTTTTGCATATTGTTTTTATTAATAAACCATTATATTTTTTATTTATTTAATTTACATTTTGTGTTTGATTCAAAATTATCACACACAAAACAATTAGTTTTTCGCCACAAAAAAAAAAATAATAGAAAAAATAGCTAATACTATCAAAATTTAACATGACCTCAAATTATTTGGCACTGGGAAAATGTGAACAAAAAGTGCTAGTGTTGATGCATTTGTATGCTCCAGCCTCAAAATATGAATCAAGTACAAACCATACACGGATAACCCTTTTGGTCAGTAATCAAGTGCTTTTGTATGATTGACATGTTAATCCCAAACATATCCACAGTCAAAAATTGAAAATGATTTGGCCTTGGTAATGTTTTCAGAATAATACACATTGCATAACCCCGATTTATTAGGGGATCCTTTTTTAGATGTGGTTTCCAAACACGCAATGTGATGTTAAGTACGACAAAACTGCGAGAAGGTTAGCATCTCAACAAAAAAAAAGGTTAAATAAAACAGCAGTGTGGCCTTGAAGGATTAGTTAAATCAGAAATAGACGTGTTTCTGATGGATTTTCGTTGTTTGCCGTTATAATATGGACACGACAACCAACAAGGTCAGGTAATTCTAAAATCAGCTTATCAGGGAAATCGTGGAGACGCTTCAGAACAGAAATAGTACATATTTGAGGAGATACATATACTGGTCCAAGTATATCAAACTAGGGCAGGAAATCAGTCATGTTTCGTTATATGTTCCTAAATTGACGGAACAAAAGGAACCACGATTTTGTTAGGAGTCTACATTTGTCGCTTGTTACGATTATGCAAAATCCTTTGACAGGTACCGATTGTACGAGGCGCAGCTCTCCTAACACATCTGTTTAACAACGCCAACCCAATCATCAAACCGTTCTGTCTCAGCAGCATCAATGGACAACCCGTGCATTTTAACTGTCCCAAGGAGAATTCCAGTAAGTGATAATGAGATCGTTTCAAAAATATGTCTTATATACAGTGTAGCATTTTATTTTTTGTTGATTTTAAAATGCGCTATTTTGTTTTAATGACGAATTCGTGGATAAATATTTCACGAAAAATGTTTATATATATGATTGTCAGCAATCTATCAAATGAAGAGAAAATGAATTTTGGCATAATTAATGCTTTGGAAGTTACAATGTAATCTGATTACGGATTTTGTTTTCTTTATAATAGATGTAAAAGCAAGTTTTAATCGCCATTAGTAAACACATTTTTTATTTTTATGTTTTACTTTATCGATAAGATTGCCTATTACATAGGTTACAAATTAACTGTTTCACATCCTCCTATACCAGGACTTGGTAATGGTAATATGGTGTTCTAATAAACAAAGTATATGGTGTAAAAGGAAACTTGTTTATAAAACATTGTACAATTTGTATTCCAAGGTTTACCTTATATTTGGTCATACATAAAACAATGCAATACCAGGCTGTTTTGCAGTAGGTTCTATTTTATACTTGGCCAGGATACTTCTTGACATGGTATCTCTGTTTATTAAAGCAACATTTAATTGATATGAGTTTTAACGTTCGAACCATTGGTATGACCCTATTGTGTTTGAATACTTATTTTACTGCTGTGTAGATGATTTATTTTCATTTTTGTTGTATTATCTATTATCTATTAAATTCCTGCTAAGCCAATTATTTTTTTCAGAAATGATTTATCACATATGTAGTAAGCCGATAAACTTATTATGCATAATTAAGGTTTCTGGCAGTGGTACGGGGATACCTATGTCCCCACTGCAAACTGTATCATTTATATAGGTATTCAGTATTTAACAGTATCTATATGACCACGTTAGGCATATCTAAACTTTGACACAGGAAATATAATTGGAAGTGTACAAAACCGAGTGATATATATTGTCCTAATTTTTAGACTTTGCATCAATACTCCTTTTAGTAAGTATTGACATACAGTTACCACGATATCACTTATGTTCAGATATTTCCGTTGTATGTTGTCAGAAATGGTACACTTTATTTTGATAACTCATGGATTAGGTAAACAAACTGGAGTTATTTTTCAAAATTTGAAGTTATGAATAAACAAAACATGACAGTAATGTACTAATATATAGTTCGATCATTCGTTAGAGTTTATATACCTTTTATTCAATTGTTATACTTGTGGGTATGTCTTAGAAAACATATCTAACACTATAGAGTCACGTGGTAAAGAATAGGTATAAGCAGAGACATTTGTACTATTCTCTGCCATGTGGCTCTATAGGTCCTTATAATGCTCTATCTTCAAAAAAACAATCCTAAATATTGTGACTCTACATATATTTATTCGAAAAGGTAGTAACATGCACTCATGCATGCATGAATGATTAATGATGATACAAGAAAAGAAAAGAAAAAAAAAGAAAGAAAAACCGCACAAATACATATACACAAATAAAACTCCATTTTTTAATGTCTTCACCGTAAACTGAAAATTCGCATTTGTGATGAAAAAGCTTAAATATGACATGAATAACTATTTCATCTTACATTAACAAAGTAAATAATTCATTTAATACGATTATTTTAAATGTATTAACCTGTCTTTGCAGTGGCAGATGCCGGAAGTGGTCACATTTCCGGCACTTGTAGTGGAGGAACCTTACATATCCGGTTAGATAACTCAAAACCGATAAAAGAGATGAACAAGATTCAGTGGGCAGCAGGCAGAAGAGACCAATGGGGCAGTCACCACACTATGCACAATTGTGACGCTAGTAGTTGTCATCTCAGTAACGACGGTCTTCGCCTTGATATAGACGTTCCAAACGCCTCGGGTAACGATATCGAACGATTAGTTTAACAATCTATTGTTTGGATGGTTAATTACCAAGTTCAAGTTCTTGATAACTTTGAGATGCACAGCCCATCAGTATGCAATACAGTGCAAACTCTACGTATGAACAGTGCAAATCAGACAAACATTATAATATGAACACAAATTACAATGACGGAATTACAAACAGTGTGGGGAGGTACATTACATCACTGTAAAGCATCTGTCTATTTCTTATTAGCAAAGTATTAAAACTTTGCGAGATAAACTTCATCTTTCGTATTATTTGACGACAATATTTCTAATAACTTTAACATTGTTTAGCTTCAAATATTATAGAGTCTTTTTGTATTTCCTTCCCAAGTCCGCAAAATTGGACAAAATTTTAATACAAAATTGAATTCGTGTTTGATATTTTCTAATTGACACAAAGTACACAACCTCAGACTATAATCACTATTTAAATGCCCCCTTGTTTCGATTTTATGATGAGGATTTTTATCATGAGTATTAAATAATTCAGCTGTCTTCTTAACTAAATTATGTTGTTGTCTTGACAGCTAAACTCCAAAAGCGATTTTTATAAAACCTTTATCATAAACGGTAATTCAACATACAGACACCTTTACATTGTGTCTTTATCTTAAAAGTCACTTTCACATTTTCCAATATGTTTTGATATATTAAATGTTTAGTTACAAGTATTCTTTTTTCAAATTTTTGACTGTGTATAACTTTCTATCAAATTATTTACAGAAATTATTCGAAAGACAAATTAATCGCTAGAAAGTGTACCGTGCAATGCTTTTACCAATTCAGACGTACGTTTGTAATAAGTATTGTATCAAGTTGAGCTGGTTATATTTCTGACATTTTTAATAAAGTCAATATTAGGTGAGATGGTAATATGTAAGCAATACTCCCTTAGGGACTCTATCATCTGTGGACACCAGCTTCTATATGACCTTATCATTCTTTCTTTCGACAATGAAAAGAAAATCGAACAATTTTCACAGAAACCTGTTCCATCTTGTGCAATAAAAACCCATACGCCATGCGTTTTATGTTACATAACATAATTGCTTCGACATTGTTGTTTGGCTTTGTCTCTTACTTCTGAACTAATGCCCGTTCGTGTTACGGGACATTAAAGATATTCCTAATCAAGGCATGGAAATTAATGAACAATTTCAGATAACATAAATGTTAATGCATATTAGAAATATAAGCAATCACGTTGCGACTTTTCTACATGCACATGTCTATGTATGTATTTCACTTTGTTTCACTATTTTGCCTTCAAACTACTATGTAGTTACAAATGTGCAAATAAAAAAAAAATAAAAAAAAATAAAAAAAAAAATCTCATAATATGTAATACTTGAACTACTAACAGGTAGAATGGGATTCGCCATTAACTATATAGGGCATTATATATTGCCCTGGAGTTGGATAGACCATCCTGAGGAGGTCTCGTGCAGTGGAAGGAGGGAAACTACTGACAAAACTGAGGACGACATAGGAACGAATAAAAGAGCAGCCATATCAGAAATACAGTTCACTGCATCGTGTAACCCGAACCATGACGTAGAAATACGGGTAGACCTCGGCCACCACAATTTACCTGGAGTAGCGAGAGTAAGATTATTACAATATCAATGTTATTGTTTACCTGGATACTGCTACAATGTAAAATATAACATGGGAATAGTCTAACGTTGTGGAAAGTTGTAGAAATAGCCAAACTTAAATATTGTAAAATTTAACAGTGTCAACTATTGCAGTAAAAAAATAACATTAGTTTCACTGTGAAATATTTTATTTTACTGCAGTATATGGAATATTTTTGTATTTAAACCACGAAATATTGTATATTACAGGTTCAATACGCTCTGGAGAATGACAATGAGTGGATAGGCTGCCCTGCCCGATGTGTACCTATGCATACGTGTTCATATGACAAATGTACAAGGAGTGGACAATACGTCATCATTAAGACACACATGTCTGGAAGCCGACTGAAGTTTGTACTTCCATATCACTGCTTTTCAAATGATTCGCGTGTGTACACTGTAAGCGTACATAAAAATAAACAAACAATTCCGCGCTTCACCTATATGCCCTTATTAGTAACACACCAATTGGGAACATTTGGCATTTTCCGCAAACGGAAACAAATCAGTCTACTGGAAATGCCAACAGTTTTGGATTTACAAAACACGTATTACGGGTTTGCATTAAAAGAATATGTTAAAAGCAAATTACCAGATTTAAGATAGCAAATGGTTTGAGAAAACGTACAGTAAAAGCTGTATTTGTAATTTCCCGTATACATTTTTTTTTTTACTTTTATTAAAAACAAACCACGTATATATGTAAGTATGTATAATAGTGACTTTCGATAGCAGTGCGATTATTATTAAATACATTGGAAGTGCGGGTATAACTTATTTCCAATATAAGCGCGGCTTTTATAATTTCCGTAAGAAACACGGATGTTTCTTCTGTTAATAATGTGGTTCATTTTCACTTCTAGTATACATGCTGGTATATTTAGGTTCACGTCGAAGTACGGATACCATTCATTGCTGTTAGGAATGCAGGAATTATTTACTTCCGTTAGATGTGCAGACACTACCTACTTCCGCTGCCTTTCCGTCCAGCTTAATCCTTTATGTATTATGTTCCTTTTAGTTTAGCACTAAGTCAATGAAGGTGTGTGTAAACAGTAAAGCTTTGCTTAGTAACATGTTGAATCCTTACAGAATCCCGGAACATATGTACCCTCTTCTCGGTAAAACCAATAATAACCCTAACCCTAACCCCAACACAGGTTACTGCACCTTTTAAATTTGGTAGAAGATACAGTATTCCAATACTTAATAAAACTGATTTCATAAAAAGTATATAAAGTTTATTTATTTCCCCAAAAGTATAAAATATTATGTTTCAACTTACATGAATCACTATTGCTTGCCCGAATGGAAACGTGTGGAGGGTAGTATCTAGAAGGAAAGCATAGTACGTGGAGAAATACAGCATGGTCGGGCAGGCCACCCAAATACCTTTTCATGTTGGTGATTTGCTACCTCTCCTCATTTGCAACATTTAAGACCTTAATTTTTTTTCTCCTGCGCCACTATTTCGTTCAATGATAGTGTCTCTCTAGACATCCATGGTTATAATTAGCAGGTGGCGTTGATCGACGAGAGTGATGCGATAATGTAATAATGTAAACAATACATTATATAGCTACATTTGTATACTTTATAACATATGTATTGAAGTGAAGTTTGACATGGTTCTTGGTCTCGATCACCATGACGTGTTATGGATTTTATGTTTGTTTTTATTACAGACTGGCTCTTAATGTGATAGGACGGACAGTGTTACCATATCAACACTGGATGGAGGCTCCGTACGAACTGACTTGCGGAGGACCTAGTATCAATAGTCTTACCTACTTCCAGGGAGGTCAGTCCTTTTTTATAACATTTTAAAGGAGATTTTGCTGGTTTGTTTTGGATTTTTCCCGTACCCTCTTCATGCCTTCCTCCAATGCCCATATATTAATAGAATTACATATGCATAAATGTGATTTGTGTTTTATATTAATATCTTTATTTTTTTTTTAAATTGCAGGAGGTCCAGTCACGCAATCACCAACACTTACTCAAGCAACACATGCTCCAGCAACAAATGCACCTACACATGCTCCGATAACAAAAGCTCCAACACATGCACCTCCTGTCACACAAGCGCCAACTCAGGCGACCCAAGCGCCAACCAACTCCCATGGTACAAATACAAACCACCATGTTAACATTGCGCCGGGCACAAAGTTCATCATGGAGCTCAATGAACCAGGCGATGAACTCCCTAATCAGACGAGAAAATTCATGCTGTACTTCAGTAAAGCCGTCACCATGAACATAAACAATGGAGACAATACAATCACGTTTTCTCCACAGTCTGGTGGCGCCTATTCCGGTCTCATGCAATTGGCTTATTTAGGAGCTGGACCAAGGGGAGATAATTCCAATGACAATGTTTTAGACAGCAATCTGGGTTTATATTCATATAAACCAGTTGCATCATACTGTGCCTCTGATTCGGCAAATAAGGCGTATGTAAATTTCGAGTGGAACGTCAACAATCAATATGCTGCGGCATCATCCGGGCAACTACTCATGGTTACAATGCCTCATCATGTACGTACTTAGTCGAGAAGAATTGTTAACATACGTCTTATTCGTTACAAAGATGACGACATCTTCTTTTGATATCCCCATATCACACCTGCACATGAATCAGCTATACTCAAAATTAAGCATTAATTGAAATTCAAGAATATGGTGGACACTTTTTTGTTCATCGAACACTTTTTTATAAAGTTTATATCTGCAACGCAAAGTTATGCATTAGCTAAAATTATTAAAACAACGTTAGGAAACTCCTTATGATTAAAGAGATAACGTTTTATGATCTCAATTTTCATGAGTTTGTCTTTCATGTAAACTTTAATAATATCATTATTGTTTTAACATATCACATAGGTATATTGGACATTAATTTGCTTGTTGCAGGTACTTCAAATGGCACACAGTAGCAGCAACATCAAAAACACAGTTTACGGCTTTAAAGGGTACGAGGGTACTGAATGGCTGCTCGAGATGAACCTTCCTCGTGCTTCGATGGAACCTGACGAAGCTGCAGTCACTAAAATTAAACAAAATAACAAACAACTTAGTGTAAGTATTGGTTAGTCTGGGTACACAATAGTTGTGATAATCATTGAGTCAAAGATGTTCAAAATTATATAAAACATCATAAAAGAGTACGCAGATCCTTAAATGTTTTCTAATATTTATATTTCATATAAGTATTAAACGTCTGTCCGATTGCAGTTACAGTGTATATGAATGCAATCTTGGTGAAAGATAAATAGAATGACGTACGTTAGGACGTCATGATTATTTTTCTGTCAACCCGATTGCATTCATATTGGCTGTAACTGCAATCTGGATATTTGGTTACTGTTAACGCACATATATATATATTTGATCGAAAATATTATTTTAGCACTTTTGGCGTTTAAAATATTACGCTAAAATATGATTGGACCTATTGCAGTTTCTATTGCCTATATCATTGATGCAATAATTCATCGTCGAGCAAATCGGATGAAATTCTATAATGCATTAAAATCTGATTGTGCTTAAATAAGCACATGAACGTAAACCGTAATAAACATTAAAGATGTACAGGAGTGTATCTATGGTTAAACTTAAAACAAATAATGGATAAAACTCGTTATTTAAAAAAAAAATCAAAAAAATCTTGATAATACCGTATGTATAACCACAAGCATAGACAAAATTAGAAGGCAATAGATATCCTTCATGAAATTATTTTTTTCAGGATATCCTGACAGCTATTGCGCGTGACGCTTCCGAGCACAACATTGACACGATCTGTAGTCAATGGGACAGTTACGGCCTAGGGAAAGCAATAGGTTTGTCTGCCAGATTGGCCAGCATATCACGAGCCTTCGGAACAGACCACTATGAGAATATAGACACGCAAATCAAGAATTGTCTGGAGAAATGGCTCCGTGTCCAAGGTATTGAAAGCGAGTCTACCTTTGTGCAGTTTGCCCAAATGGGTTACTTAAATGTCAGTATCCGTATTTGTATCAGTGTATATACAAAATTGTCTTACATAATATTATTTACTATTATAAGCAATAATGTCTTAACATAATTTTCACGGGTTATCTATAATTCTGTCTACACAATTTACATCATTATATTCAATATTGTCAACTTAATTTACATATACAAATCGACGGCGGATTGCAATTATAGACTTGTCATTGACTTAGATGTTGTGATGATCACGTTAATTTTGTCTGTATTGAGTAATTTTGTTATATACCATTCTGTATATAAGATAAACATAATTATGTGGGTTGTTTGTTAATTGGGTAACAATGTATGTTGTATACATGAAGATTATCATTGGGTGGAAGGTTTCTAATTATGATACGTATTTATACAAGATTCCCTGTCCGACATGTGGAAGTTCCACTATGACACTGTATGGGGTGGTCTATTCCTCCGAGCCACTAATAACGCCGATGTCGGGTACGGCTACGACTTTGGTTTCCCATACTACAACGACCATCACTTCCACCTCGGGTACTTTCTGTACGCCATCGCTTACTACGTCAAACACCACCAGGATTGGGGCCAACGTAAGTATGGACATGGTTATATTTATATATCTTACTTATAACTCTGCATTGGAGATGTAGATCACCGTGTCCGTCTCTCCGTCCGCACTTTCTTTTCCGGAGATTATCTCGGAATCTAAAAGACAAATAATTTTATTGATTTAACATGGTGATACACTGTGAAATATGAAGATGTGCAAATTGGGGTGTTTAAAAGCGGTCAAGGTTCAAGGTCATGGTCTTGCAGGTAATCCAATACCTTTTCATGCCAAAACAGGGAATCGAACCCAAGCAGCCTTGTTAAGCGAGTACGCTATCTGCTGCACCATCTGACCTGTATGCGGATGTGGTTAATAATAATTCTGAATTGCCAAAAATGTAGTCTTCGGATATAATTCTGTGAATTTTAAGAAGTATTTGGTTTTGGTTGTCTACTCGGGTAAAAGGTCAAATTGATGTATCACGTCATTGTATCGACGTAATTTTCGTTTGTTTGATTAGGTTTACTTCTTGTGTGTCTTTGTGTTCTGGCATTATCGTATAAATATATATATGTGTTAAACAGCAGATCAAATGTTAATATTTGTAATGTGTATACATTTTTCGTAAATGTATCGTTTATGAGTGTTGTCAAGGTTTGCTTTACAAAGCAAAGCAAAGCAGGCTTCATATCATTACAAGTGCATTTGCCTATATACTTATGTGCGCCCTTTTCCAGAGCACAAAGAACGTGTTTACGCTCTTGCCAGAGACGTTGGTAACCCGAGCTACATTGACAAATATTTCCCCGTGGTACGTCATAAAGACGCGTACATGGGATTCTCATGGGCCACAGGTGTGGTTCCAGGGCAGAGACAGGAAGAATCATCATCGGAGGTAATTATAGTGTTATACAGGGGTATAATGGACATAAAAAGCGAAAATATCAATGTAAAACAACAATAAAAGCGTTATTTGTACTTTTTCTTATATTATGTTTCCTCGGGAGGTTTCTAGAGCTCTTAAGAAAGACATGTACGATTGTATTGTTATAGGTTTTCTTAATAGTAGGAGCCCTTCGAAATAAGGAGGATATATTCCTTGCTTGAAGTAGTGTCCTACAAGGTATTGATTGTAAAATGTGAAGACGAAAGGAAAGTCCCATTCTGAGATGTAGTCGCTTGAGAAATACGTATGTGTCTTAAGGATAGACGCATTGAAATTCAATTTTACTGAGTGTTTCGATCTAAATTGTAACTTAAATAGTCCTTAGGAGTAAATTATATGAGAACAGGGTTTGTCCTTAGCATTATTCTCATTGTGAAGAATGTGAAAATGTATTACCCTTGTAAAATATCAGGTAATTATGTTCGCACAGCTATTTTTCAAACATGAAACATATATTTTGCAGCACTACATATGAACGCATGTTGTGTTAGAGTTATGGGCCTGTATTCATGAAACCGTTCTCATGCTCAAGCATGGATTCCGTGCTAAAGCCAACTTTCTTAAAACTCGCTTTAATCATATGTCACAATCAAGAAGATTAGTGTAAACATTTACAACACTATTCCGCATGAAGATGTTCAAAAATTCCTTGTCACTTACAAAAAACAATATTCATTCATTTATCTCTGACAAGAAATTGGGCGCTAACACAGAATCTGAGTTTGAGCACAAGAAGGATTTCATGAATACGTGCCTTGGTCAGCAATTTCATTAACACAGTCAGAAAACGATATATCTGCCTGTTGTTCATTAGTTTTTCTTGAATCTGTTTTCATCTTATAAAATCGAAACAGCAAGGTTTATCATTAAGTAGAAAATATCTTTCTTTCGTTTCTAACAAACAAATTCTGTTGTAGGGATTGAACTGCTACCATGGTCTCGCTGCGTTGGGAGATGCTTACAATGACGACATTATGAAGAAGACTGGTCAGGTGACACTTGCCACGGAGATTGAATCCGTGCGAGAGTACTTTCACGTGCGGAATCACAACGAGGCTCATTTTCCACCAATCATCAGAGGGTACGGAGCGGTAGGACAGATAGCTGAAGACAACTTTTACGTTTACACGCTGAACTGGCCATGCGCACCTAATGTTTTTCCTATGAGACATGCATGTCTTATTGGTATTCAGATTATACCCATCACCGCGGCGTCAAAGTACTGGATGGACCAGGTCAGTTCATTATTTCGTATTTATGTGCTTGAGATGGGTTCTCTCCAACAATAGAATCGTTATAAAAACGTTATCCCTCTATACGAGATACTTGATCTATAACAGATGTGTTTGATCTATCTATAAAATAACTGGTATACATAAGAAATGTGTTTGATCTTAACCTGTTTATCTATAAGGTATATGTTTCATTTCTAAAAGACACTCAGCAATACCAGAATGTTTGATATATAACATTTTTTTTACAGAATATGCGTTTGCTGTATGAGGGGCCATTTTTAAAAATTCTTTATCTCGAATCCTTTGAATGTATTCGCCCTATGCATTCCCTTTATATATGGGAGATGTGTTTTCTGTACAATAGATTCTTTCATAGCAGTCTTTAATCTAATGCGAGGTCCTCATGTTGTATTATTGATAGTAATTGATTGTATGTGTAGAACTATTGTAAAGTGCTTTGTCTAACTAAATATTGCACTATATAAAATGTCGAATAATAAGTAGTAATTACTAACAGATACGGAGGAAGATGTTTCATTGAAAGTCAAATTAATTTTGTTGCACTAAATGTCTCTTTTGGTTCATTAAGCAGCGCAATAAAATTATGACATCGAATTATGCTTGGTAAACACAACTTACCAAAGCAATGGCAATATGCTTTAATGAACCTAGACCTGACGCTTCGGTATATACGTGTACTATGGTTCTAGTGCATGAGTACCACAAATACAGCATTGTCCTTTAACTACATATAAAGTAGTAATTTCCCATTCCTTCAAAATCTTTCCAGAGCCATAACGCTTGTATATTGAGAAAGTTAGGGATACATAATAACTAGCTATTTACGTCATGTCACGAACCACCAACGCGTTTTAAGAACGCTTATAATTGGCCATATACATTGCAAGAAATGGTGATATAGGTGTATGATTCATTACTTCACTAAGTACTTTGGTAAATAGAAATATGTTCCCAATGAGATAAGTGTTGATTTAATCTTCATCCTCAACAGAAACGATTAGATTGAATTTAAACCTGTGACTTCGTTACCATGGCAAATGAGACTTTATGCAAGATCGTGCCTTGTAACCATGTCTATCATTTGGGGAAAATGTGGCGATAACTATCATAGTATTGATTTCAAAGCCATGTCTCTCGTGGAGGTAGAGGGCTGGCGCGACTAGCTAAACGTGTGAGGAGAGAAGGGTTTGGTGTAGAGAGTGACCTAAAGGGTATGGAAAAGTAAGGGAGAAAGTAAATTGTTAAATCTAGAAAGCCTGCAAAAAGTAGTTAGTATTAGTAAGAGGAGGAGAGATTAATCAACCCTGATGGGTATTAAGAGTGTCGATATATGTGATTTTCACGTTAAGGCATCTTGATGTTTACATTACAAGACTTGTCTTGTCCATGAAAACTTGCCTGGTCACGGAGACGGCAATGGATGTTTTCATCAATCCGTGTTCTGAACATACATCGACTGCTACAGAAATGATGAGAGGTCTAGATATATTTTGTTAGTGAGTTAGCATCATAGTAACGATACTCATAGACTTTTATTTATTGAAGAATTAAACAATTTAGTATTCATTGAATATGGCCACACTGACAAAAACATTTGATGAACGTAACACGCACACAGAGGTGATTGAACCTTTAAGATTTGGTAATAGATACAGTTTGCCAAACAAGGGATTAAGCTACATCATACAGCTAGTTCGTCCTTCTACTCATCGGCGATACTAAGAGGCCAAAACGCTCTCATTGTCTAAAACAATGTACAACCAGAGGGGCACATAATTAAAACCCATTAATTTCTGTGTTTCTTTGTAGATCAGGTCTAAGGTGACTCCATACATCTCTTGTTTTATTGAAGATATCAAGACAGGTGCCACATTTGGTGAAGGACACGCCCACCTTTCCCGAGCATCTGGTTTTACTTCCTTTTGTTTCATAGGTATTTTCCCTCTCTTTTGAGGGAACACGGATCCATTTTTTCTTTCCTTTTGTCTTGATATCATCTCATGTCCTGCTGCTATATATTCTCGTCGACTATTTCAGGTTTATTATTATTTGGTTACTGTGGTATCTTTCTTTCAGTATTAATTTAATCATTCACTGATTTTGTCATGTTTTTTTTTCTTCAGGACTGGGCATCACATATTAAAAATTCATGTACTCAAGCCATCCATCCAGAAACTGCACCAGACTACCACCTGACGAATCCCAGTGATATGGGAAAACTAGACTCGGTAAGAACACTCCGACCTCTCACCTTGGTGTTATCTGTGATAACGAGATATAACTACTTTTTCTTGTAATATTGATTTTGAGACTATCATAGTTTTGATTTCCATTTTCGCATTTTCATATTAAAACAGTGACACTGTGCAGTTCAATATGCTGAATTCGTCAATTTACCTTAAAATAATAATGAAACTATCGTGGATAAGATCGTTTAAATGATCAGCAAAGTGATTACATAGTGATGCAGGCAGTAGTTGTCACCATAAGCCCCGATTTCATTTCTCTAGCTATGTAGATATATTATGTTTTCCATTGGTGCATGTACATGTAGTAGTCCACTATGATGCCTACGGTTTCATATCCTTAGCTTTCCAGATTTGATTTTCGTTTTCTTTTAAATAAGCATGTTCAATAGCAAATGATATTCTGACGCTTGCATTTTCATTGCTGTACATATTGTAATAATCGACTCCACCATAAGCGCTGACAGCTTTGTTGAGTAGAGAACCACTCTGTATGTTCTATGAACAAGACTTGTTAATTGAAAGCAACCTTCCTACACTTTCGTTTCCATTACTATGCGTCTAATGATGCTATAATCATTAGTGCAAGAAACTTTTAAACATACATGTAGCAGCCCTGATATTGTGCTGATGTCGTCTTTTATGTTTGAAAGTTTCTCTGTTCTTTTTCTAATTATCAGATATGTGCCCCCCCCCCCCCCTTACATATTGACGCTATAATTTCGTGCCAAAAAAATATATACACTTTAGAATCACCAGAAAAATGGAAAAGGAGCAATTGTTTGCCTTATTCTGTATTTTACAACAAGATTACATAGCCGTAGTAAGTAGTTATGAAGATAACAAACACATATTTTCTAACGTTGAAAAGAACTGTGCTGCTCTTTGTTCCAAAACGTTTGACATATTTAAGAAGAACAGTGCTACGTGTTGTTTCAAAATGTTTGACAGATTTCAGTAGAACTGTGCTGCCGGTTTATGAGACATGCCTTTAGTCTGGCGCCCCAATGAATCTCTAGCTCTTAAACTTGTGATTATTTTTTTCTTAATCCTTAAGCAGCTGATGTATGAAAGTCAGTAGCGTCCTTGATTTAAAATTGCCATCGATCTCAACAAAAATATTGTAAACAAGGAATTAAATGATGCTCACAAATTCAACCCCATTATATCTTATCATTTTGGCCTTTGATATGTTTTTCATATAATATGCTCCAAAATAATGTACAACCATATCTGTTTACCTTTGGAAAAGAACGCTGTGGTAATCAAAGAACTAATGCGTTCCTATAGTTTGATACAGGAATGGTATTGTAAAGTTCTAACAGAAGAAAAATTCTTCATGAGAGGATTTTCAAGATTGACCAAAAGAATTCTTTACATTCACATCCATATATTCCTCTTCAGAATTATGCAGTGTCACATTAGGACTGTAACCATGATTTAATGGTACTACTAAATGCAGTTAGTTACTAGTAGAGTCAGCAATAAAACGTTGTTTATAATGATTCTCTTGAAGTTTTGAAATTTAATACAAACGAGGCAGGTCCGCATCCTGATAATTAATGGACTTTTTGGAAGATTGTTACACAAACGCATGATAAACTAGTGTTATTAGCCTTGGAAAAAAAAGATGTATTTGTTACATTTTTTCTTGATGCACAAGTTCATAAATGCGCTAATCTATCAAAATTCAATATTGCGCTAAAATTTGAGTGCGCTAAAACAGGAACGTTTACAGGATATTGCAATATCAGTTCATTGTTGAAACTTCATAGACGTCCGATGTTCGTTTGTTGAAACTGTAACTTAACCAATGTAATATATATGCGTGATTAGCACTTTTCAAAGGAAGGAGAGTAGCAAACGAGGCATATCTCGTTTTTATCAGTCAATCCTCACTCTGTTTAATGCATTTTTCTATATAAAATGTATATAATATCTAGCTATTTACCAAGCAGTTTCAAGTAATTAAAAACAAAAAAAATACCGATCATAAACATTTTATTGTATGATTGTGGCAATTATAAAAATAAAATAGATCATTTTCTTGAACAAAAACAAAATACAATGTAACTAAATAAAAAAAAAATCATTCAATGCCCTGGAATGTTTTTAGAACTGACCTGTGGTTCAAATAAAGATGATAATTGAAAGTATTCTTTTCTTTCAGGGATGGGCAGCATTCTGTTATGCAGGCATGGCGCCATATGATGACGCTCATATGCAAATGGCCGCAGACTATGTCAAAGATAAAGGCCCGAGACAGTTAGTAGGAGGGACGGGAGCTGCCAGTACTCTGCTGTTTATATACGGACGTACATAGGAGCTGGGAAACCAATAATATGCTATTACATTGTACCAAAGAAACACGTCATGTTATCACTACTTACGGCTGAAATTAAACATATCCACATTATGCAAACCTTGTTACATTACAATATTACTAAAACAATAAAAAATGACTTCATCTATTTACTTTTCCCTGACACGGTCAAGTAAATTTGACAAGATTGACCAGTGAACCAGTTAAAACCATATATTCCTCCCTGACTGTTCCATACATTACAAAATGTCATTGAATAATAGACAAATTTCAGTTCAAGTACTGAACAGTATGAAAATATCAAAATGGTAGTGACATATACTTCATGATATGATGTGAACACAGTTCAAAATAAAGTTTTCAATATCAGTACTTTCAAATAAATGACTTTGAAGCAACTCAAAAGTTTCAACTCTTCTTAGGTCCGAGGTGTTCATATTTTCTTAATATAACATAAACGAATAAAAAGCATTTCGATCTCTTTGCTATTGTTATTTTTATACATTTAGTTGAGACAACAGCTTGTTCTCACCATTCAGTTTCTATGGAATATTGTGTTAACAGTTGATGTATAAGATTGTGCTTCAATGGAACATGGCAATATTGTGGAAGATTATGTAACCATGGAAGTGTGTACATTTTGTATCTACGTAACATGGTAATATTGTGGAAGATTGTGTTACCATGGAATTGTGTATCTACGGAACATGGTAATATTGTGGCAGATTGTGTTTCCATGGAATGGTGTATTTACGGAACATGGTAATATTGTGGAAGATGGTGTTACCATGGAATTGTGTATCTACGGAACATGGTAATATTGTGGAATGTATCTGGAGCATTGTGTTGAATATTTTGTTTCTGCGAAATATGCTGTCGATATGGACACTATGTTCCTTTTGAGTACAGTGTAACTGTAAAACACTTTTACTTAGTAACATAGAATAACTGTAATACTTCTGTTACCCTGGAACATTGTGTTTCTATGGGAAAATATACTATCAGAACATTGGTTTAATGTGGAATGTTTTGTTAAATTGTGTTACTATTTTAAATTGTGATATGGAACAGGTTGTTACTGTGTTAAATTGCAACTAAGGAACATTGTGTTACTGTGTTAAATTGCAACTATGGAGCAATGTGTTATTGTGTTAAATTGCAACTATGGAACATTGTGTTACTGTGTTAAATTGCAACTATGGAACATAATGTTACTGTGTTAAATTGCAAATATGGAACACTGTGTTAAGATGACACATTGTGTTTATTTGAAGTATGATGTGTATATGGAACATTGATATATTGATGATAGTTATGTTATATGTTTGGAAAATTTTCTGTAACTTTTGAAAATTGTGTTACTTTGTATAACATATTCTTGTAATTAATTTCATAATGATAAAAAATAGGTCAAAAATACATGAATCAAGTAAGTTCCCTCCCATTACTACGATTAGACTTGCACAAGCCCAAAACATCATCCTAGCGGAACACATTATGATGGCTTATATAATGTTTACAACTAAATCAAGGAAATAACGATAAATATGAAGATTGATTAAATTGCACTTGGAGATAAGTGAAATGCAACCATCGGTGATACAGTCCTTGAAGTATCTGACATATTTATTTAAGGTATGTTTGATTCAATTTAAGGACCTTTGGTGGACATTTTATTAAAGTATAAAAGAATTGTCCAGTAATGCCCTCCATGGTGTTCATTGATGCCGACTGGTTCAGTAACTTTGTACATGTTAAATAATAGAATGCACCTTATAATGACGTTATTTCTCCCTCAAACTCAAACACAATATTAATAAGTAGAAATAACGTTTTATAGGTAAGATATGTTATCATACACATATGAGCTGGTAAATGCACTTTTTCCATTAAGTGTTCAGCAATACCCATCCCCGCTCTAATTTCAAAGTTTCATCACTTACATTTTCTAACAAATTCTCTTTCCTTCTTTCTTATGCAAATTAAATTAGTAGTATTTATTCCAGTACAGATTTAGATGGAATGTTTTCATGTTCACTGTTGGTCTAGTGTCTAACTATCCCCTGGCCACATATATTGGTTTGTCCAGTGTCTAACTACCCCCTGACCACATATATTGGTTTCCCAGCATTCAAAGCCTTCTACTTTAAGCTGTGACATCACTTCCCTGACAACCGCCTGTGGAGTTCCTGAAAATGTACAAATACAAGTGAATATTAGATAAGGCTTTTTAAAAAAATAAAATAAAATAGGCGTTACTTCACTTCCAGTACTAAAAGTAAAAATTTAAGACATCATTTTTAAAATTGAAGACTACCAGATAAGACAGTTCTTTGAAACAAGCAATAAACCTCTCTCATTTTCTCTCATGATGTCTTTGTTTAGAGGTACAAATTCAATAATAGATGAAATTTAAAAAACAGGTAAATAACTCACAGGAGGGAGAATCCAACAACGTGTACTATTAATTACAGTTTACAGTATAATCATATAAAAAGAGTGCTTCCACCGGGAGCGAGCCGGCAACCCCCATCTTTCCAGCCTGCCGATTGAGATAAAGGAAATTCCTTCTAGCTCGAAGTTAGATGGTGACCATAGTCCTATTCAATTTCTGTTCAATTAAAATCTGCCACACTTCACACACACACACCCTCCCCCATTTAAATGTGTTGAGGGCCACAGACACCATTTTTAACAGGAAAGAGAGCAGTGTGCTTCCACCTGGGATTGAACCCACGTCACCCTGCTTCCCAGTCTGCCGATTGACCTAAAGGGAATGTCCCTCTAGCTCGATGCTGGAAGGTAACTGTAATCATATGTACAATTAAAATCTTCCACAATCACATATTGAGCCATCACCTGGTCTGATAAGGCAAAAAGCACATCCTCCACCACCAGCACCTGTTAATTTGGCGTGGAGACCACTGGCCGCAGTGATCTCACATACTCTGTCCAGTTTAGGGTGACTGACCCCTAAGGTTCTCAGCAGGTTTTGGTTCATGTCTATAAGATCCTGCAAAACACCAAGAAAATTGTTCACATCATTTAATTTTTGTCAAAATTGAATAAAATAACTTTTTTAAGTGATGATTTTAATTATTTAAAGTTTAATTGCATGAAAATTATTTTAATTATCATCCGCCAATTAGGTTAATTTTTTTCTTAAAATATTTAAACTGGTTAGTATGCTTGTAAAATCTCAAGTAGAACTCTAATTATCTTGGATTTTTCGTCTCTAAATGATAACTAGATTTAACTGATCTAGCTACAGGAACTAAAGCTCCAGGTCCAATAATATAAAATTGAAAAATAGAATAAAAATGATCAGACCTAGAGCTAGTACGGTTCCCACAGCTATAACTGATTACACAGGCATCTTGGCTGTTACGTGCATAACTCATATATTACGTAGTTATCATTTCCACTTGTGAAAATTAGGTGGTCGATTATATCTCTAGAGAAGCTGACAGATAGCTGTATAGGATAATGATCTGTAAACATTTACAGAAAATAGTAAAACCCTTAATTTTATTCCATTTTAACAAATTTGTTATGTTGTTATAGAGATGACACGGTTATTAGAGTCAAATAGACTAAATAGCGGGCTAGACCTATATAAATTATTTCCGTAATAGTAAAACCCTTAACCATTACATTCCCTTACCTCATAACAACATCATACCTAGTTATACATGGAGTTTAGCAGATCTGATGTTTGTAATTATTGTCAGTAATTTGAGTTGAGACCTCTCCATTTCTATAGACTATATAAACAAGAAAACACCTAGCTCACATAACACATGTATTGAAAGTATTGCTTAACACATATTGGAACCCACTATATATACAGAGCTGTTTCATTCACCCCTACATATTTAAACTGGACTTGCCCAGTCTTTGAGTTGGTAAGGTTCAAGTGTGACTTTAGGGGAGAATGGGTTAAACAGCCCCTTAACTGATCAACCATTAACCAACTGTATCACATACGTAAACACTCACACCTGAGAAGGGGGAAGTCGAAAACGATTCACACAAGTTTATTATCATGTTGAACTGAACAGTACTACCAAACTGACAGTGATAATTGAGATGTCACTATTTCTATTAATTTTGATACTCACAGGGTTATGCTCACTTTCACTCTCTCTACACCCCTGGAATATGTCATAGCAAAATCAAAGGCTCTGCACATGTGCAAGCCACCTTGTGGATGAGACGAGAAGACTATTTTGATCCTTTGAAGTTCATGAAAAGTACCTCGCGGTTGGGTAATGGTAAAATTGACTTGCTTTGTAGCCTTTGTAATCTTCAAAGGACAGGTATCAGCCCTAGCAACTGGTCAGGGTGCAGAGAGCGAACGTGAGGATATAACCCCTGGATTATTGAGGATGGATTTCTATGAAAATGAGACAAGAAGCCCAATGGGCCTGAATCTCTCACCTGGTATTAATCTCGCACTTGTAATCTTAAGAGTGAACTAAATACAGCTACAGGCAAAATATCAGTGTTTGATTTAAACATATGATCCCTGTGACCTTGAAAGTCAATCAAGGGCATTAAGTTGAACAGACTTTATAGCCTTTCAACCTAGCATGCTTCTGGCCAAATAGCATTACCCTAGACCTTTTGGTTATTCAGAAGTTGTTAAGAGATTTCAACATATTTGACCCCAGTGACATTGAATATGGGCCAAGGTCATTCATTTGAACAAAGTTGGTAACCATATCATCACCCTAGGCCTCTTGAACATTCAGAAGAAGATGTTTAATGGTTTTTAACATATTTGACCCCTGTGACCTTGAATATAAGTCAAGGTCATTTATTTGAACAAACTTGGTAGCCCTTAATCCCAGCATATTACTGGCCAAATATCATCACCCTAGGCCCCTTGGTTATTCAAAAGAAGTTGTTTAAAGGTTTTAAACATATTTGACCTCTGTGACCTTGAAAATGGGCAAAGGTCATTCATTTGAACAAATTTGGTAGCCCTTCATCCCAGCATGTTACTGGCCAAATAGTTGCTTAAAGGTTTTAAACATATTTGACCTCTTTGTTACTGAAAAGAAGTTGTTTAAAGTAAAAAGTTTACCAACCTCAAGTTCCTTGTAGAGTGACGATGATAGATGACCATTGTCCAGTAGTTTACTGTTGGTGTCAATGCTCCTTGTTGTCAAGGTGTCAATAGCATCCATTACTGGTCCTACAATGGCCTCATACTACAAACAATAAGGCAAAATATCTTGAGCAATCTATAGTCTCCAACCCCTGGAAAAGTTTTGACATCAAAATGAACAAAAGGGCTTAACTATGTAAATAATATGGGGCATAAGAGCCTATTTTCATATGCAACAATCCATCATCCTATTTAGCTAAGAGGTAGACGCATACAAAACTTGGCAGCTGTAGTTGACAAAGATTATGAGATACGCTTACAACAAAGCGATGATTGGACAGACTGACTCTTGGAGTGCCAACCTAAAGTTCCCTTCTTTGAAATGCAAGAATTTCACTCTTGATACACAGATCTAACGTTTCACCCTTGAATTGAAAAGGGTAGGGTAAGGGCCTATTGAGATTTAGCATTAGTATCGGCCCCCGCTTGGAATTTTAAAACAAGATAAATACAAAAAGGTATGGGTATAGGAAACTTAAATCAGGAACAGTTAGTTTCAGAATTCATTTAAGGATAAATGGGACCTCATTGACTTACACCTGTGTGGCTGTTAAAGGTGCGATACTACAATTCCTCCTAGAGCATATAAATGACACAATTACTATAAAATTATATCATTATTGTGTGCAACATATTCCAACTGTTATTTTGAAACCGAATATTACACTATTTCAATAAAGAATTGTTCTTTTTATTGAAGATTTAAGCAGAAAAGTATGTGAAATTTCATCACTAATGAGAAAATTTCTATTTTCGACACTTTAATTTACATAGTTCTAAAACGAGTCTATTTTTCATACTTGCTTAAAAGATGACTACCAATAAAAAAAAATCAACATCAGGAATTTCAAGAAATTGACTACTAGTAAATTTGTCATATAACACTTTTGATTCAAATAAAGAAAAACATAGCTTTCTTTCCACTTTTCCATGTTCATGTGAATGGATTTAAATTTTGTAAACGTTGATGACATTGACCTTCGTTCAAGGTCACAAAAATCTAATGTGCTGAAATAAAATGTTTGTATGGGGAGTCAGACAAGGATACCTTTCCTTGCTTTATTTGTTTAGAGTTAACGATATAAAATAATGTGATATTCCTCTATAGTTTCTTTAATGAATGGGCGATTGGCAAAATAAAATAATAACTAGAGCTGTAAGCCAAAAACTAACTAATACCCCCGCTCCTACATGTATATAAACCAGAACTGTAAGCTAAAGGCTCACTAAGGCAGAGCTATGCAAAGCAATCCATAGTCTCCCCCCCCCCCCCCCCCCCCCCCCCCCCCNTTTAATTATATTGTCACTGATATACTTCCTGTATACCCTCCCCATGCCAACACATACTTCCCTAACAAATCTTGTTAGCCTAGATGAACCAGTTTTGCTGAAGTCGTCCTAGTAGTTAAGGAAGAGTTGTCAAGACAAAGATTTTTAACAAAGGCCCATAACTCCTTAAAAAGGGTTAAAATGAAAAAAGTACTACCCTTAAGCATTTACCCTGGTGCATGACATCAGGAGGTAATTACCATATCTGTAAACATTCATTGAAATTGGCCAAGTAGTTTATTTGGCAGACAAAGGTTCTTTTTCAACAAAGGCCATAACTCCTTTTTAAAGGTTCGCAATGAAAACATACTGTTTGGATGCATAATGTCAGGGGGCAGTTACCATATCTGTAAACTTTCGGTGAAAATGGCTCCATAGTTTTTGAGGAGTTGTCAGGACAAGTATTTTTAAACAAAGGGCCATTAATCCGAAAAAATGGGTCAGATTGAAAAAAAATTACCTGGATGCACACCATCAGGTTGAAATTATCATATCTGAAAACTTTCGTTGAAATTGACCCCTTAGTTTTGGAGGACATGTTCTGACAAGAATTTTTCAACAAAGGGCCATAACTTTGAAAAAAAAAAAAATCAGAATGAAAAAAAAACAAGCAAATATGTGGAATTTATATCCCCCGCTTGCAGGACATATTATAGGCTAACATTATTGAGGTTAGGTTTAAACATGTGAGTATCGTGCTGTTGAGACATAATGTATGGCTTGAAACTTGAAGAAAAAAAAACAACCTATACCTCATTGATTATCCGTAAATATGCACTAATCACATCGGTTGGTAAACTTTACTAGTAGAGTTGAATGTGCATACAGAATTCGGTTGAAACATTTGAACAATATCTGCAGCAATTATCACACGAAAATCAAAAGAGTGCCCAAGATGGGTGGAAAGACAGAGGAACACAAACATTGTTATCAAGTTTGAAGGAATTTGGCTAATATTTGCTAGAGTTATTAAGCGGAAACTGCAGATAATGACGTTTTTCGTTAATCAAGGGTCAATAACTCTGCCAAATGGAGTCCGATTAAAGTTGTTGTAAATGTGGCTGAGCCCTTAATGCGTTGAGCCCTGTTACTAAGTTCGAAGGCAATCGGATAATATTTGCGAGAGTTAATGAACAGAAACGGCAAATATGACGTTTTTCGTTATTCAAGGGGCCATAACTCCACCAAATGGGGTCTGCTGAAAGTGGTCATTTAACTTGGCTGAGCCCTTAAGGCATTTAACCCTGTGACTAGGTTTGAAGAAAATCGGTTAACATTTGTTGTAGTTATTGCACGGAAACAAAGCGCATCAGATAATGACGTTTTACGTTATTCAAGGGGCCATAACTCCACCAAATGGGGTCCGTTGAAAGTGGTCATCGATCTTGGTCGAGCCCTTAAGGCATTAAACCCTGTGACCAAGTTTGAAGGAAATCAGTTATTATTTGTTGTAGTTATTGCACTAAAACGAAGCGTGACAGACAGTCAGACAGACAGACAGACGGACAAACCCAAATTAAAATCCCCTGTTTCGGTGAAAGCGGGGGATAATAATACCTGGATGAAATTACAGAAAATGTATCGGTATTTACCATAATAAATATTGATAATCAAATCTTCAAGATTATGTGAAGTTGGGCATGCTAATAAAGTACTTTACCTGTTTTTATATTACATAAAAATGATTCAGTAGACAGAATACATATATGGAAAGTTTAAAATATAGACTACCACTGTAACTATATATATGCAAGTTGACAATGTTGATTATATATTAAATTTTGTGAAAATTTTGCATGTTTTTCTAATTAAAAGTATCACTACGCTTACTTCATGTATACCAATTTGACATATTTAGTATCAAAATAGCATTAATTTTATACACTGGACAATATCATAATTCATTTTCAAAATAACATTCGCCTGTGACATTTATCTGCCATTTTGTTAGGATATCACCGCCACTCAACCTGGTGTTATACAAGGAGGTCCACTGCGGTTATCAGTAGTAGTTATGAATAATCATTTATGCAGTTATTGATCATTTTTATGTATCTGCATATGGCAAAAGAATAAAAGAAATCAAAGAGGGGGCCAAATGTTGACCCCACCTTTGATAACAAAATTGAAGGCTCTGTTTGAGCCACCTTGTGGATGATCTTGATGTACATCTAAAGATTCACAAGGCAGCAAAATGGTAAAATTGACAAGCTTTGAAGTCAAATTTTGTGGCTCTGTTATCTTCAAAGGAGAGGTTATCAGCATAGCAAATATAAATTCTATAAAATTGTTCTCAAGACAATTTCTGTTCAAAACCAACTGACTTATATTTTATTGTAAATATTGGTGTGAAATTGAAAAGAAATGAAACAGGAAAGAAAAGTAACATGTTTTCACCAGGAATCAAACCTGCAACCCTTAGCTTCCCAGTCCATCACTCTACCGATTAATCTAAAGGGAAATCCCCTCTAGCTCAAAGCTAGAAGGCAACTGCAATCATATGTATAATTAAATCACAGAATACAAATTCACATGAGAATGTTTTCATGTTTCCTTGGTTATCTACGGTTCTGAAAGGACAAAAGGCTCAGAGGGCCTGTATTGCTCACCTGCTATCCGTACTGGAGTAGGAATTTAAAGATTTTTCTCTGGTTTCTTTTATTGGGCCCTATCCTGCTGTACTTGTGGGAGCCAGACTCTCAGTTTATATACAATGCTGAGTCATCGTAGTTTAAGTATACTTCAAACTTAATTTGTTCAAGTAGGTCAAGGTCATTGCTTTGATGAGACTTTGTACTACTCTGTTCCAGCATGCTATTGGCCAACTATGATCACCCTGGCACTCTTTGTTATTAGAAAGAAGTCGTTTAAAGATTTTACACCTTTTACTCCTGTGACCTTCAAAGAGGTCAAGGTCCTAGGTCCTCTAGTTCTTGAGAGGAAGTCGTTCAAAGAAAAAGTTGACAAATGACAGATGACGGTTTACACACCACACCTTATAAGCTCACAGGCACTTCGCGTCAGGTAAGTTAACAATAACACATGCTAGCCTTCAAGGGATGACACATGAGAAAATCACACAAAGAGATACCAGCCACCAAACTTTGCTGTAAGTATTTGCATACTTAACTTACCTTTTCAAACTTTGTTTTGACATTAGCCACCATGGTTTTGGTATTTCTTGGCACTTTTGTGTTCACTAGCAAAATTTTTGTTTCTGGCATTCTGAAAAACATTTGAAATTGAAATTACTTAACCTGAAACAATTGAAAAAGAAATACGTTTTAAAACATCGCTTTATAGAAAAAAAATCAACTTAAGATATTCTCTTATTAACACATTAGCGATATTTTTCCTTATGAGAAAATTTAACATGTGACTACCTTAGAAGAGAATAAAACCCCAAATATTATTTTCAGACGGTCCTCCTAAGTTTCAGAGGTTTTTCCAAAACTGTAAAATTAATGCATAAAAGAACAATAATTTACTCACAAAATTCATTATTTTATTAAATTGACAATTTCATTAAGGTCATTTTTATTTGAAATGGTAGGCATAACAGCAACATACCGCCACTGTAAGATAGCATGGTTTTCCATGTCATTAAAACATTAACATACCAAAATATTGGTGTATTATCTTTTGTTTGGTATCTCGTTGCAGTGGGTTATTTTTTACCTCCTTTCCACAGGGGCCTGTTGCCTTGTGACTTTGAGAAAACATTGCACACAGAAAGCATGATTTGAGGAAAATAAAGTGATTTTACATTGATTTCGGAAAATATAGCAGAAAATATCTAGGGGATGGGGCCTTCATAAGGCCCTAAATTCACCCGAAAAAATCACTGCATCGCCATTAAAAAATTGTTATCCATCGGTAATGTTAACTTAACTCATTCACCCCTACATATTTAAACTAGACTTGGCAAGTCTATGATTTGGTTAGATTCAAATGAGAAAATAAAGAGGACATTGAAAAAAGTTTACACAGCTCACCAGTAACTGTGACAATCCTATGAGGTAAAGACCTGTTAACTAAATTTCTCCAACGACCACTATAGGTTTGCTCACTCCCGACCCATAAACCTGCTAGGAGTTGATGAAGATATTTGGCTACCCACTAGCTAGTAGGCAACACCCTAGACGCTATTTCATTTGTCAATCTTCTTACTATGATATCAGGTAACAATGCTTTGTGACGTCATCTTCCATTGGGACGTCATAGTTCATGGTAATTTCTCCCCCCGATCAGAAACAGGAATAATGTATTCCCAAGAAAAACATATTTGTAGTAGGAGAAACTTAAACTTGTGATGGATGATACACATGTATATCTAACTCACGATAGTTTAAGTTAATTGTCAAATTGTAAAAGACACTGTAAACCTCACGTCTTTATACAATTTGTAAGTTAGACTAAGATTTTGTTTTTGTGAACAAAAACATATGTCTCCCCTTATTAGCCAAAAGACAAACTTCGGTATAAAAAAATAACAAAGGGCCATATCTCTTTATATAGTGGGGCAAGAGACCCGAATTTAGAATACGACACTCCTACTTCCAAAGATACATTAAAACTATAGCAAATTTGGTTAACGTAGGTGAAATACCATGGAAGTTATGCCGTGGACAAACTTCGGTATTAAAAATAAACAAAGGGCCATTACGCTGTATATAGTGGGGTTCAAAACCTGATTTTAGTGCGAGATATTCCACCTTCCCAAGATACATAAATATGGTAAGTTTGGTCAATGTAGGTGAAATAACATGGAACTTATACTCTGGACAAACTTTGGTAATAAAAATAAACAAAGGTCCATAACTCTGTATATAGTGTTGCACGAGACCTAGTTCCAGTGCACTGTACACCTTCTGTGGGTGATGCAGGTATACTTCAAGGTTGATCAAGATATCTTTAATGGTTTAAAATTTACAGGCCGGACAAGAATTTACTCTAAAATGCTGCACTTATTTGACCTTTGACCTTGAGGTGAAGGTCACTGTGACCTACTACCACTAACCAGTGCACTGCACCACCTTCTGTGGGTGATGCATGCATACGTAAAGTTTCATCAATATAACTATGATGATTTAAAAGTTATGGCCTGGACAAGCTGCGATTAGAAGGACCAGAAGAAGAAGAAGAAGAATATATATTAAAGAAGAAGAAGAAGAACCAGTACTAATACAATATGTCTCCCTTCATTCAAAGGGGAGACATAATAAACCATATCACTTGTTGGGGGACCTCTATGTACCACATCCTTTATAATAGGTAAAACATATATATAAGCTTAATGAAAATGGCAGGTGACCACTCTGTAAATTCCATAAATATAAAATCTTGTAATAGACATGTTCATAAATAGACCAAAACTGTAATTTTGATGGTCTACTGGACCACTGCTTAAGAACATATACATGGTTTTTTTTCAATAGTTTGATGATCTTGGATCACTAGACCACCACTAAAATTGATTCTTAGAATACACGTGTAAGTAACAAGTTACTTGAGGATTTTTTAATCATCCTACACTGCACATTTAAATCAGTCATATGTATTCTATAGGATTCGACGAGATTATTAATTACTTACTGTGATAACTTTGTGATATTGCCTTTCTTAAATTCTATGGCCCCACCTGCAAGAAGAAACCATTAATCATGGAGTATTAAGAAAAGTATTATATGAATTAATGATCCCTGTCCCACTGCACTGTGGCCTTTTTTCCTGTAAACAGTAACCTCCCCTTATCTTCCGTTCAAATATATAACTGTAGAAAAATTGGTCCATGACACTTCCGTCAACCAGGTAGCTCAATTGACAGTTCAGCAGACTGAAGTTCGGGGTTCGTATCTGGGTTAGCCCCTCTGTGATTTTTTACTGTCAGAACACTTCCCAAGCTTGTTGATTATATTTTGTTTATTTCATCTTAAAGTATTTCTCATAAAAGTTTCGTAAGATATGGTTTGCTTTTCAGATATGATCTTTCAATAAAATCTTAAAAGGAAAGGAAGCAAATTCACTTACCATAGACTGTTACAGAGTTATCCACCCCTGATGGGTTGCCATGCATAATTTTTTCACTTATTAATGCCCATTTATTGATCAGTTCAGTGTCATCATGTGACCATGATGACTGATTTGATTGGTCAGTTTCTGTATGTGATCTAGATTGTGATTGGTTAATATGGTTTCCTAGCTGTAACAGTGCAGCAGCTAAACAGACAGAATAACTAGCGGAGGATCCCAGACCAGCTCCAATAGGGATCTTGGAATGTACACTGACATCTATGGCAGGTAATGGACATCTGAGGAAGGAAAAGACAGGGAAATGGGATAAATATTATAATTGATTTTAGTATTCGGAGCAAGGAGCAACACTTATCCCCTTATCATTTTTAAGTCATGTGATGTCAAGTTTGACTTTTTATACTTTGGTATTTTTGCAGGTGAAAATGCTATATCATAATAACAGTGACCTTGACCTTTGACCTTCATAAGTGGAAAGTAATTTCAAGCCAGTATTTTTTGTAAGCAGTTTATTAAGCTTCATTTTAATTGGCCCACAAAAACAAAACTTAGTGTGGAAAAAACAAAGATTCTTTCTTAAGCCAAAGTGACCTTGACCTTTAACCTAAATGAACTGAGAGAAATCCCTCTCAAAAATTGCAACAGGGAAGCAGTGTATGAAGTTTTAGTGTTTTTTTGCTAACTGGAACTTGAGCCATTGTGCAGAAAGCACATTTTGATTCACAGTATCAAACAGTATAACGAGGACTTTTGTCTTCCAGACCTGAACAGCAATTTCATCCAAGCAATATCAGCATGATATCAGTGTGTGAAGATTCTGTTTAATCAGCCCACAACAGCTCAAGTTATTGTGTAAAATAGTTACAGTGATCCTGACTTTTCATCTTTTGACTTGAAAACTTATTCCAGGAAATCAGGGTGTGAAGATCGAGCAGATTCAGCAAAGAGGAATCCGTGGTCCAATGGACTGACTAATGGATGAACATCGTGAGAACCTTCATCAGTGAGATTATCAATTACACTTACTTCTGTCCAATGGGCCTTACTTTCTAAAAGTGCAAACATATCCCTTATTTTGTAGTTGTTCCTTGAGACTGAACTGTTTACATCAAATTATGATAATAGACACAACTTGAAATCATATCACAAAAATAATTCAGAATAAGGAAATTAAAACTTTCTTAATTAATTCTCTTTGTATCTTTTGTTAAAGAAAGAACAATTGAAGCAAAAAGTTCAAACAGACATACTAAGTGTGACAACAATGAGCTTCCATACATAAATTATTTTAAAACAAAATGTAAGGCCTCCTTCACGTATATGGTTCAACCAGTTGAAACGGGACACTGGAATATTCGGCACATGTAGATTAAGGGGTCCAGAGGCGTCTGACCGAAACTAAAAGGCTGACTATTGCTAGTTTGTGTTATTTCCTTATAAAACAATTTGGTCAATCCACATATAAAATTTAAGATACATTATATAATTTAGTGGACGCATGAAAGTAGAATGTATTATTCTTAATGTACTCTGCCTACAGTTCGGTCCAACAGCATTTGTTTATTGTGGAATATTTCTGTGCCACCTGAACTGTTTCAACAGCGATACGCAAAAGTGACTTATATACTTTCACTCACAGAAAATAGCAAAAATTGCATTATGCTATTATTTTGCTTCAAAATTACATCACAGCATATTTAAGCTAAATCTAACACAACAGAATGGCCGTTAAAGTTTACAAAACAAGGATTAAAGTTTGTAAACACATAACGCACAGAAAACAATACGACAATGATATAAATCATGAGTTTTTCTTTGATACTAGAATTAGCAAGAAAATGATTATTGAATAGCTCCATCATCTGCTCACAAGGTCAATTAAATTCATTCATAAAACAAATTTACCGGATTAAAAGCTATATCTCAATTTCACTAAAAGGGAGATAATTCACACTTTCTATGGAAGCCATGGCAAGACATTATGAAAATATGACCACAGTAATATTGAATTAACAGATTCACCTCAGTCAAAAACTTGTGAAGATAACACTTTGATGAAAATAAAACAGATTAAAACATACACAAGATATAACATTAGTTCTTTTACTCACTTGCTAGCCTTTGATATCTCTGTATAAAGATAGAGAAATGTTACGACAGCTGAACACTGTGTCCTTGTAGCATCCTCATTCAAACCTGATAATTCCTTCAATGTTTCAATAGTTTCCTCTGTGGCCGGCATTGGGCTTGTAACATCACCTAGAGAACAACAAGGAAATTGACACATCATGTACTGGTACATATAACAAATGTGTAGGAGGCACGGTAGTCTAGCGGTAGGACACGAAGGCCCTATAACCACAGATTATAATTTGTGAACCGTTTGAGACGACCTATGAACTAGGTTGTGATAAAGCAGTATTTAAGAACCTCAAATTATTATTGTTATTATTATTATTTCATTTAATCTAATGGTTTTCACTTTTGGGATGAACAGTCAAAGATTTGTAACAGACCCAGAGACTGATTTTTAATTTTAAATCGATTGCAGATGAGAAAAATGTGAAGAATATAATTTTTAAAGAAAATTTGGAGACTAAGGTGTCGTGAAGAATTGGTGTCATCCTCCAAAACCAAATGGGGACATTCTCTTTAGAGATTTTGTGTGAACAATTTTTGCAAGAATTCTTGGGATGAAACTTAAAACGAAGTTGCCAATTTACATAGGATTTTTCTGGAAATTATGGAAAAATATAATCAACTAATTAAAACCATTTATATATCAATAAGTGTAAAGATAAACAGAAAAAAATCTTCAATTAGGGAAAGAAGATACAGAAAATCTTCAAAAGGGGGAAGTTGTTTTGTGGTAGGTTTGGAGATTAAAAGAGATATCAAAAAGAAAGAGGAAATCTCCTGAACAAAGGGTGAGATCTAGACATAACATTAATGTTGATTGATCAGCCCAACCAAATCTCTCTGGGTCTGCCACTGAAATATCTGATAGTTGAAAACATGAAATGACAGCCAAAATCAATTACGTATCACAAGGGAGGTCACTAACTTCTTTGGCTTCTTTAAAAGTGAAAACTTATTTGTCAGGAAAATCCCTGTTGAGGTCAAATATATTCAACAACAAACAATTTGATGGCAATTAAGGGGAAACCTTTTATCCATCAGAATACACATGAATCATTACTTGTAAATATTCATGAAATCTGCCTAGATCTTACTCAAGTCTGTCTACACATCAGCCAAATGCACCTCACAAACTGTTCTATAATGATCTGACAACCAAAATTGTAAAGCCTGAATTCAAATATGTTGCTAGGAAAAGAGCTATTCTTTCAAGGTTTTTTTTACTTGTTTGAATAACATTAACCTTCATTCAAAACTCACTTCTGCACACCAACTCCCAAAACCTTTCTTACACATGATAGTCTACAAAGTACATTTAGCTTCTTCATCTAGAAAGGAATGAGTGCATTGACAGATATCCTTAGGATCAAATTTCGGAGTTTGAAATGTGATGTACATTGTACATTTAGAAGTCATCAAGGTCCTGACCATATGCATACACACAAATGTGTGATCACTTCAGGAAAAACCATACCTTTTTCAGAATCATTTTTTGAAGAGAGAAGGCCACATGGGAAGGACAACTTCACTTCAATATCAGGCAGGTCCAGGTTAATGAGATTATCTCCCCTTTCACTTACTGTCAAGTTGGTACGGAGATTCAAACTTGCTGCTAATGCTTTCTGAAAAGTGACAAAAATGTACCATACATAAATTCATAAGACTACACATATATATATATATATATATGTAACAGGAAAGACGGTAGTGTGCTGTCACTGGGGATAAAATCTGAGATCCCAGACTTTCTAGTCTCAGGGGATACTCCATCACTGAGCTAAAGGGAAATTCCCTCTAGCTCCATGCTAGAAGGCAATCGTAATCCTATGCACAATTAAAATCTGCCACACTACTCCACTTTTTTTTAAATGTGTTCGCCCTAAAACACCATAACCAAAGTTCTAACTCCCTGTAAGACAGACCACAGGGAGGGCCATGGACACCGTTTGTAACAGGTAAGAGAATAGCATGCTTCTACTGAGGATCAAACCCGCTCCAGACCCTCAAAGCTAGAAGGCGACCGAAAAACCTGTGTTCAATAAAAATTTGCCACATATATATGTATACTTTATCATTAATTGTGTGATGTTTCAAAGGAAACATGCCATCATGATTACCACTGTGATAAGCCATGGAAACACAGCTGTACAGTACATATGTCAAGTCCAGGAAGGAAGTAGTGATGGAAATACTACACTTTACTTTTAATGGGAATGAAACACTGAACTCTCCCTGCAAATGAGTCTCCATTATTTTTTACTAGGGAGCAAACAAGCGACCCTAGTCTCTCCAGTCAGTCAATCAACCTGTGAACGGGCTGATAGGAAATTACTTCTAAAATATAGCCAGTATGACGAATTTATTGACACTCAGTTCAGTGTATGACATTTACACATGTACTTGTGGTGTGTCATTCAGATCTCACCTTAAGCTGAACCATTAAACATCAATGGTGCCCATTATTTGTTTCATTAATTAATTATATATACATAAATATATACATGTCCTACACCAACTTAAAATATGCGTTAAATGCACCAGTCTCTTACTAAAGTATTACCGTTCAATAAGTATGTCAGTAACCTGGTGAGTCTTGAACATTGATCTGTCTGCAATCAGTGTTGTTTGGTCAACATCATCAGGCCCATACGTTTAGGTATTGAAATTGCTTGCTCAAGGGAAGCCATAGAAAACCTTGCTCAACATTTCGAGGAGAAATTCACATATGAAATGGAGGAAAATCTTTCAAAAATCTAGCCTCACATTTATTTTGGACACAGAAAAAAAAGTGTTGCCGGGGGAACTGGGACAATACACCAGAGGTTATATGCAGATTATTGTATAACAGAAAAAGAATAGTGCCCTTCATCAGCCACTCTCAGTAGTGATTAGCCGGGTGTTTATTGACATTCATGGACACCTGTCCGCAACATGCAATACACGACCAATCATTCAGGCTTCAATAGATTTCATAGACGTGTACCTTTCCATAAACAACAGCATGTTCTCCGTGTAAAATGACTTTCCCAGGAGCGGACACAACTATTTTTGTCATGTTTCACAGGAACATGTCCACATGAACTATAAAGTGAAACTAGCTCTTCAAAGCGGAGATACGAAAATGCATTTCCGGTTACTTTCGGTTTATGTAACCTTTGCAATATGTCACGATTTGTTTCTGTCTGTCGACAATCATCTAGGGGCCTAGCTACATATTCAAAACTGTTAGCGTGAGTGTAAAAGCATTTTTGTTATATGACAGTAGCACACATCAAATGAAGTTCTTCAAACAGTGGCTATACATGAATATAAAAAAATGGGGATTTACTGATCTATACAATACGTGATGTACTGTATTTATTGACAGCTAGCGTATTCAACAACATAAGAAAATTAAAGGTTTTGAAAGAATTTCTTTATATATTATTCATCTCTTTTTCATGTTAATAAGATTCCTAAATTTTTAGTGAATTTATCTGCTTTATAATGATCAAGATCAGTATACATTTTTGTAATGCATGATGAAAAATTGTATTATTTTGCAGAGCTCAGAAAAATGAAGGAAAGAAATATCCCAAAATATACACAAAGACTGGTGATAAGGGTAAGTAATAAAACGATGACTCTCTGTACACTGAATTACATATGTGCATAGCTGTCAAACCTGCCTCATATGGAGGGAGACTCCCTCATTTTGAACCAAAATTTACCAGTCTCCCTCGAAACTCCCTCATTCTTCTTCTTCTTCTCTTCTCCTTCTCCAAGGAAGGAGTGATTACTCTCTCCAGATACTGTGCACACATGTGTGGTAAAGATAAATTTAGTTTTGGTACTGTAAGATCAAAATGTTATATAAAGGTAGAAAGGTGTGTAAGGGGGGTATCTCATGGCATATGACTGTAAGAATTAGTTGTAAAACAGTGCAGTGCATCACCATATAAGACATATTTAACTTCGTACCCAGTGGGCGATTCAGGGGCAACAGGTTTTCATACATACATAGGCCAGCCTATGTAAGTCGAGCAGGTGGACAGGAGATATGTTGGAGACTGTACTGTATGTGGAGAGTCATGCTGTGAGAACGAATGGGGGTTGGGGGTTGGTTGAGGGGAAGTGGAGTTAATGTGAGGAGTACAGACCATCCTTGAATGATTCAAGGCTGTCTGTCTCAGCCAGTGAGGATGGAAGGTTGTTCCATTCCGTTATCGTCCCAGGTTGGCATGTATGATGACTTGAAAAATTCCTTGGAAGCCTTATGAGACGATAACGGTGGCCCCCTAGTGTCCTGGAGTCGGCCTTGGTGAGGTACCAGTCGGCTGGAATAGCTATAAGATCATGAGTGATCTTAAGAAGTTGACCAGTCTGGCCTTCCTCCTACGGTTCTGCAGGGAGTCCCACTGAAGGGTGTCGACCATGTATGACACACATCCTGGTGTTCTGGTGTGGAAGTCATTGTGGACATATCTGGCCGCTCTTCTATGGACAGCCTCACGCTGGCTGATGTGCTCTGCACAGTATGGATCCCAGGCAGAGCATGAGTACTCCAGTTGAGGTCTGACAAAAAATGCAAGGGCAGAGTAAGTGAGAGTTTTGACCCGCCTGGTGCATCCAGACATGTTACGGCGCAAGAATCCTAGAGTTCTATGCGCCTTAGCTGTAATGTTGTTTATATGTGGGTCACACAACATATCCTGGGACCCACATATAATTCTAGAGATTTGCTCTCTGGAACAACTTTGAGTGATTGCAAGTGGAGTGAATAATTAAAGCAAATAGGATGTCATTTCTTTGATGTTCTAATGACAAAGCATTTTCTGCATTAAAATTCATTTGCCAATCAGATTCCCATTTCTGAGATTTACCAAATTTCGCTAGAGTAACTCACAGTCTCTGACTGTGTCGATGACTCGATAGAGGGGACAATCGTCAGCAAAGGGACGAGCATTGGAAAGTACAGATTCAGGAAGGTCATTAATGAAGAGGAGAAAAAGTAGAGGTCCGAGGACTGTACCTTGTGGTACCCCCGCGAGTCCACCGATAGAGGGGGAGAATGGATGTTGTCGAGAAGAACTCTTTTTTTGTTGGTTATGTAAGATTTTTTTTGTTGGTTATGTAAGAATGATGATATCCAAAGAAGAGAGTTGTTACGGATTCCATAGTAGTCAATTTGTGAAGTAAGCGTTGATGGGGGACCTTTCCAAACGCTTTTGAAAAGTCTTTAAGCAAAATATCACAATCTGTTTGCCATTGCTTATGTTACTAGTGATGTCATATACTATGGTAATTGATTTAGATACACAAGATCTTTCAAGTCTCTAAACTCACACAAAATCAAAATCTGCATTCTGAGGTCAAACTATCTGCTCGTTACTGCAGGGTGTGTGTAATGATCATAGATTGTAACAGGTGTGTCTGTGTATGTGTATGTGTATGTGTATGTGTATGAATGCTTTTTGAAGTTATTTTGATACATAAAAAGGGAAAGATAAATTTAGCAAAGCAATTTCAGTCACGTTTCACACACTTTCTCCCTCATTGGAAATGTGGAATGAGGAAGATCTCCATCATTGGAGGTTCCAGAGGTTGACACCTATGCATTTTTTCCTTCCTGTTAGAAACGTATTAACAGATGTAGCAGAACTGAACTCACTCACTCGGGTCAGCTGCCAGGAACCATGCAGGTTTATGTAGTTTAATTAGTTTAAATCCTGGTCTGGCTGTGCATTTTTCTTCTCCTCTTACATTTGGTGCCCAATGAAATATACCCACAAGGAGCTTGTATAAGGTCTCATGTGTCTTCAAGATTGAAGAGTTTGTTAAGCGGAGGTAAAATGGAGTGGAACTCGACTGGGCTGATCACTGGCAACCAAGTATACATGCATGTTAAGCTCAATTGGTAAAAAATGTTCGTCTATAGTTCGGAGGGTCTTGGGTTTGAATCCTGGTCTGGCCTTGCATATAATGGTATTTCCTCTCTTTTTACGTAGAAAAGGAAGTACTGCATTAACACAGAATTCTAACCCAGGATTTCTAAACTCTAGACAGATGCTCTTATAATCAATTGAGTTTCCTGGTTATCGGTGATGGACCCAGTCCACAACATTCCTCACTCCTTCAAGAAATTCTTCCATCTCAAAGTCGCACAAGACCATATACCATCTTTCGTTAGTATGATAAGTTCAAAGTTAATGTGTTACAAGAGAGGTAAAATGCAATGGCCAGACCGGAATTCAAACCCAGGACCTTCAAATTATAGACGGATACTCCATATAACCAATTGAGCGACCTGCTCTCCAGTAATCAGTCCAGTCCAGTTACACTTAACACAAAGATTAATATGAATAATTTCACAGAGATAACTCCATACCCATAAATTATGTCAGCTACATCCAATATGGCAAAATGCAAAATATTGTATTTCAAAGTATTAGAATGACACTGTTATATTACAAAACCAGAATCTATATTATATACACATATTCAGAGATTTTTTTGGGGACTCAAATATTTAAGTCCTGGATTCATACTCTGGTAAATGGAACAAAGTAGCCCACGTCACTTCAACCAACGTGTGCAAACCTACTCCTGACTAAAACATCTGGTAAGATGTGTTCTATCATGAAATACTTTTCTATTAAAAATCTTATACAATTCCGTTTAGACAAAACGCTCCAATAGATTAGTAGTTATTTATTAACACATTCTCATTAATACATCTAATCATTTACCCTCATGTCTTTCCTCATTGTTCCAGGGATGTCATCAACCTTCACAGGAGAAAGAAGACCAAAGAATGACACAATATTTGAAGCTTTAGGAGCAACAGATGAGTTGTCCTGTGCTATAGGGTAATTAGCTTGTATTTATTACTAAATCTTGAGTATTTGGACTGCAGAGATCAATCTAGGTTTTAGGGGAATCTACCCTTTTTCAAATTGGGGGAAATTAAAATTTTGATACAAGGCTCTTATAAGCATCATGAAGGTAAAAGATAAATGTTTTGTCTGACATACATGTGTGCAGTTTAATTAATTTATAATCAAATTCAAGCTTAAAAGTGTAGAATCTTTGTTTAAATTATGTTAAGAAAATGTATATATGCAGTATTATGTAGTAAGATGAGGAACGGTGATAAAGATAGTGCCGTCGCTGGGGCTCGAACCCGCGACCCTTGGTTCTCTAGCCCGATGCTCTACCACTGAGCTAAAGGGAAATTCCCTTCAGCCGATGCTTGTAAGGCGACCTAATCAATGCACATCTTTTACACTATTACCCCCTTTTATCAATCACCAACCCAGGTTATTTGACTCCCCGCCAAGGGTTCTCCTACATTGAACAAGGAGGGTCAACGGCACCAGTTTGTAGTAGGACAAGGAATAGTGATCCAGATTGTGCCATTGCTGGGGCTCGAACCTGCGACCCTCGGCTTTCAAGCCTGGTGCTCTACCACTGAGCTAAAGGGAAATTCCCTACAGCTGACGCTTGTAAGGCAACCTAATCAATGCACATCTTTTACAAGTTATGCATTTTAACTGTTGAATTTTAAAGAAAACATAGCGGGGGGAAACATTTTGAAGAAAAAACGCTATTTTCTTGTTGAAATAGGGAAACTTTGAAGCACACAAGGGGAATTTCAAAGAACAGGGGAATTTTCTTCTGTAGGTGAAGCTACTCATAATCGGTAGTGAATCAAGTCTAGATTGTTCCCAATGGAAGTATATGTAATGACATTGCAAAACAGAAGAAAGGGGACAAGTCTATTTTGTAGCCTGGCCATTAATTTGGCCGTGATTAATGAAAGACCTTATTTTGTATACAAATTTTGCCTGTAACATCTGTATTGCCACATTACTGTATTATGTAGATCTTGGTAAAAAAGCATATATAGATGTATACTGTAAAAGCATATATATTTTCTTTGGGGTTAAAGTTTGTTGTTTTTGAATGGGGACAAATTCGTTGGGATTATATTTCTTGGAATCAATATTTAAAAACCCTGTATTTTTTAGTAAGTAAGAAGTTTAAATTGACAGGCGTGAGGACACAGTGCAGGTAAATATAGTACAGGTAATATAAGATCGGGTGAGATTTACTCACTTGAGTGGTATCGGTCATGTACAAAGAGCAATATATACAAAATGTATACTTTGTAGATTCACATAGACATACATATACCTTGTCGGTAGTTTGACGATATAAAAACTGAATTTCAAAATTTGTAATAAAATTGATAGTTTATTCCATGTGTTTAAAATTTTGTTGGGATTAATTGTATTTTGCGGTTTTATAAAACCACGAAATAAACAAAATTAAATCCCAAACGAAATATTTTGTTTTTACAGTATACTGTATACCAGGAAACTAATGATGACACCTGGGAATATTATAAACATACAGCATACCATGTATTTAGAAATTACAGGTGAAGGACAGAATATACACTGGGCAAATATGGACTCTTCCACTGAAGGGTGAATAGTTTATGTAGTACATTGTGTAGCAGGAAAGAGAATATAGTGTACTTCCACTGGGGAACGAACCCTCGATCTCAAGGTTCCTAGTCGGACGCTCTACCACTGAGCCAAAGGGAAATTCCCTCTAGCTCGAAGTTAGAATGTGACCGTAACCCTATGTACAATTAGAATCTGCCACACTACTCCCCCCTATTTAAATGTGTTCGCCCTCGAACACCACAACCCACGTTCTATCTCCCTGTCACTACAGGGAGGGCCATGTGCACCATTTGTAACAGGAAAGAGAATAGTGTGCTTCCACCGGGTATCGAACCCTCAATCTCCAGGTTCCTAGTCGGACGCTCTTCCACTGAGCTAAAGGGAGATTCACTCTAGCCCGAAGGCGACCGTAACCTATGTACAATTAAGATCTGCCACAATTGTATAAGATCTTTATGTCTGCTATATATGTATTATATTATATTTGATTCACGTCTGACTAAGATCTAGATCACACAACGACATATAACGGTTACGGTTAAATTTGCTATATTCTATCAAAAAAGGGGAAGGTTTGTTTTTAGATATAGTAAAGCTCTCTCATGTATAGTAATTATAAAGCTCTCTCATATATAGTAAAGCTCTCTCATTTATGGAATTTCAGTTTGGCTGCTGAATACTGCAAAGAAGCTGCTATACCTGTTGTATCTGAGCTAGAACAAGTAAGTCAGCTCACATTATATAGTTATATTGTACATACATTGAAGTAAAGTACAAACAAGAGGCCCAGAGGGCCTGTATCAAAGAAGCTGCTATACCTGTTGTATCTGATCTAGAACAAGTAAGTCAGCTCACATTATATAGTTATATTGTACATGGTAAAGTACAAAAAATGATACATTAATAAGTTTAACATATTCATATTCATCTTAGAAAAACTGCCAAAAAATATGCAGATTATGTAACGTTGTTTAAGTACCAATGCATGTATGATTATTGAATACCAATAAATGTACTGTACATGTATATTTCCATCTCAAACACCAGAAATAATAAGATTTACATTGACTGTTGTTATGGGATTGAGCATGTGTAAAATGAATAGATTACAAAGCCATTTACTGTATAACATGAACTGTTTGTTGTGTATAAACATCCGTGCTTTCCTTGGTTGCTATTGAACTACGAAAATAAATGCAACGAATTTGAATGATATACGTGTCTCCTGTTTGTTAATATAGGATATCCACTAAAGTTTCTACCACGAAACGATCTAAATGGCTTCAAACCACGAAGGAAAGTATCCACAAACATTTCGTGTTATACAGTACGATAAACCTGATCGTGCTTAACTGGATTTATCACTTCCATAACCTGACCATAAACACTTTTCCTTATTTTAACTCTGATAACTGCTCCACTTATCATCTAACGTTAATTTCCTTCATTGAAATTTTGCATACCCCTGCCAACATTTAATGTTGTCGACGTCATGGAAGCATGTTACAATCTATAGTAAGGTTGTGAGATGATAACTCCAGTTTATGGGAACAATGGTTATTGGGGGAATAGCGGTGTAGACGGTAAACATTACAATATATTATGACAATACCATAAGCTCATTATCCATGAGCTCATAGGTCCAAGAAGTATTTACAAGTTTGATATGAAACCATTCTCCATTTGAGTGGGTACTTACAATCCATGTAACCACCAAAATTGAGCCTCACAAACAAATGTGATTTCACAGTAAGTCAGGAATATAGGCTTGATTGAGTCTAATTTAAATTAATATGTAAATGTGTATATGTGATTTATATGATTTTGACAGATCCAGTGTGTGCTACAGGATATAGGGTCATGTGTGGCCACACCCATTTCTTCTGCCAGGGAGTCCCATCGAAGTAAGTACATTTTTATAAGAAGTCAGTGCACTCCTGTTGAAGTAATTAAAATACAGTACATGTGCATGCTTAACCTATATGGCATGATTATGAAATATTCTAGTCATTTAGGGGGCCGCGGTGGCCAAGTGGTTAAGACATCTGACATTCTGCTACCACTAGCCCTCCACCACTAGGTCACAGGTTCGAGGCCTACATGGGGCAGTCGCCAGGTATAGTACTGGCTGTCGGTCGGTGGTTTTTTTCTCCGGGTACTCTGGCTTTCCTCCACCACCAAAACCTGTTAATAGGAGGTAAAACACAAACAAACACAAAAAATGGAGTCATTTACTAGACAGGTGTCCTCTATGAAACACATCTTGGGATGCTTGTTTCATATTTATAGTTCGAAATTTTAGTGTTTGGAAACAAACCAAAAAATAACGACAAACAAAAGTGAAAAAAATATCAAGAGTCCATTTTGGTGCCTATGCACTGCCATTTTTTCACTGTATCAATGCTGCCATCCAGGAGTTATCATCAATGAACAATATCTTAATGAAAGATATATACCTTACACACGCAAGAAACTGGTGCAGTACTCGTTACCTTCTGAATGTCGGGGTGTGTTTATTAGACGAAAATATGATAAACTGTGAAATTTGACATGAACGCAAAATTCTTGTTACCTAGGTATTTTTTTTCTTTGAAAATACTCATGGTTTTAAAAACTACCCAAAAGCTAGGTCAGTGAACACCCCATGCAGGTCGTAGATTTAGAAAAGAAACTACCTGCTGTTACCAAGTGCAAGTTGTAAGGGATGACTAATTTGGAACCTCTTACAGAATTCAGGATTTGCATTTCTGCCTTCAAAGGATCGGACACCAAAACAAATCTGCTGTACCCTGGGCAGCATTCCGGACCTTTATATTTTCTATCGGTTTAAACCACTTTTATTTAGTTTCCTGATGACTTACTGTTTTCACTCAAGTGAGGAAGTTTATGGGTTCTGTCCCCCATGAATGAGACAAACTAAAGTCATTCAAATTGGCCCTTACTGCTCACTGCTTGATGTTCAACTTTGAATAGGTAGCGATAAGGATTAGTTTACCTGCTGACAGTCTAGTATGACAAGGTGGAATGTACAGATTGTATTTCAGTGAGGTAGCACTATAGATCGGCATCAGATCGTTAAACTGCCATTGCAAGGAGGCAAATACACCAACATACCATTTATGCATAACACATATGGTAGAACATATTTAAATTATCTCAGCTGTTAAAAGGATGCTAAACCAAGTAATTCTAACCAAACATAGGTATAGAGAAAAAATGATGTTTTTGGAAAACATTTAAACAAACTAACTATAAAATGTGACAATTTTAAAATAATAAATGGAATCCACTGTACAAGGCGTGTGCACCATAAATGTTGGAATACAAACCACAACCACCTTATTTTTAGGTATGCAATTGATATACAAAAGTACTTTGTGAATGATGCTTTAAGAAAATGCTTGTTTCTCATAATTTCATGTTTATGTACTTAAGTTAATAATATTGAGACATTTGTCATCAATTTAAAAGAAATTTATGAAAATGTTGAAATGTTTAAAAGTTGAATTTATTATTTCTATTTTTTTTCTCCATTCAGAGCTGACAGGATTCAGTGGAGAGAATGTGACAGACCTAGAAAAATTGATAGATGAGTATACTGCAGATTTACCTCCCCTGGAAAACTTCATTATTCCTGTAAGTGAAACAACAATTTTTCTCTGAAATAGGCAGTGCTACATAAACGTATGTATATATTTTCATGAAGATTTTATTTTGTCTCCTGTAAAAAACTAAAATTTGATTTATTTTTTGGAACTTTATATTTATATTAACTTTATTTATTTTACAACAACTATGAAACAACTTAGCTCAACTTATATTAATCACTTTTTTTTGGCCCGGATATTAGCGCGCTTGTTTTGGGAGGAAACCGGAGAAAACCCACATGGTTGGGTAGGTGACCCCATACCTTTTCACGTCCGATCGGCAATCGAACCCTGGATGCCTTAGTGAAAGACAATAGTCCAAATTATTCTGACGTTTTATCGACTTTTTTTATATCGGCCTGTCGTCGATTAACGTCAGAACTTCGGCCCTCTATAATATGCGGGAAATAAGCGACTAGAAAGACAAGTGCGCTATTTACTGCCCAAACCGACCTCCAAATTATATTTTAATTTGCTTTGATAACAAGCAGACTTAGAACAGCAGAATAGTGAATAATATGATATAGATTTATCTCACATTCTATTGTTGATGCTGGAGTATGTTATTGTTATTGGTATTTCTGATAACAAGTTGTGAAACATATGGAAATAAAAATCAGTGCCCATAAAAATAACATTTTTCTGAAGCACAAGTGGTTTGCGCTAGTCGTCTTAGCTGTTTAAATGGGTACAGGCAATTTCAGGAAGTTTTTAACTGATCACTATACAGCAAATTGCTAACATAACTGATATATGTGATTGTTTCTCATAGTCTGGTGGCAAATCCTCGTCTTCGTTACATCTGGCCAGATCTATTTGTCGGAGAGCAGAAAGAAGGTAAGGCACAAAGTATTAATCCTAAATTGTACCCAATTACTGTCAATATTTGTTAAGTCTGATATGAAAAGTGTTTTAAACCCTGGAATCAAGCCCAACAGAGCACATGGAACCTCTTACACCATATAAATGAATACAGTTAATGCAAAATATTTGCTGTTATTAAAAATTTGACTTTTTTGCTGTCTGTAATGAAAACATTTTTTTTGTGAGAGCAAATCTTAATACACAGCATACCATGCACAATATATATATATATATATATTTAAATTGTTACATGTAAAGGCAAAATTAACACCGAACAAGTACATGTGTTTTACCACTGAATTCTGTTATTTCTCATAATGGTTCTCACATGGTGTATGATGTCTAAATGATACAATTGGTATACGTTCCATGATTATTATTTTTTTATATCACCATCAGTATACATATAGGAAAGCCCTGCCCAGTAGACAAACATATTTTTGGACTTCATTCTTGTAATTGCAGTGTTACGCCTCTAGTAAAAAGTGGAGAAATGGATGGAGAACCACTTCAATATCTCAACAGGTCAGTACTTGGTAGTTCACAGTAATCCAGTAGAATGATTGATAGGTCAGTATAATGTCACAATAACCCAGTAGAATGATGTCACAATAATCCAGTAGAATGATAAATAGGTCAATATAATGTCACAATAACCCAGTAGAATGATAGATAGGTCAGTATAATGTCACAATAACCCAGTAGAATATTAGATAGGTCAGTATAATGTTACAATAACCCAGTAGAATGATAGATAGGTCAGTCTAATGTCACAATAATATTAATCCAGAATAATAATAAAAGGGTCAGTATTATGTCACAATGACCCGGTAGAATGATAGATAAGTTACTGTAATGTCACAATAACCCAGTAGAATGTCTAAGCAACATTTGATTGTCTTGATAGCTAGGTCAGTATAATGTCTCAATGCATTTGACTTTGGACAGGAGATATACTGGGCATGAATTGAACATCACACATTTCTTATTGCATTAAAACATATTAGATTTTTGTCTAAACATGAGGTTCTGTTCAGATTGCGCCTATTTTGTCCTGTTAGTATGATCTCTATGGTGATTATAAAATGTAGCAGAAATGTTTACACAGGAAAGGTTACTGTAAATATTAATCTTTTGTAACCATTACTAGTTACTTTTCTTTAAGAAAGCCCTTTATAGTTCATGCATTATTGATTTTTAAAATACTTGTAGAGAAACCAGTTATATGACCGTATATGATTCTTCACTTTTGTTTACAATTGATACCTATTATAATAAAATGTTTGGCCTGTTCTGAGAACTAGTAGTGCAAGAGTACTGTAACAGCTAAGGAATTTGGGAAGGGGGGAGAGGGGGAGACTGCCTTACTGGCAAGCTATAGCTTTTCCAGTGATGTGGTGTAATTACCCAGGGACTTGCTCACTAGTTCAGCACTGTTGAGCATGGTCAGTAGGTGGATGGGTGAGCGGGTCCTGTAACGTGGCGGTCACCTAGACTTGCCCACGTCTCTAGAATATTGAATTATTATGAAAAAAAAAATAACTCTTATTATTTTGATCACTTGGATGTCTGATTCCTAAGTTCTAAACTAGGGGGAGATAAGCTAGTAGTAAAATGCAGTCGAGAAATTCTTCATAAAAACTTAGGGGCTGGTGGCCAATCTAGCGGTCACCAGCACATTACAGTACTCTTTTTTACCTGGTAAGCATAATTTGACACATATGAATGACAGTGTGATAATTGGCATATAAGTCTGTCTTTGAATTTTCTCATTACAGGTTGAGTGATTTCCTTTTCACTGTCGCGAGATATTCAGCCAAGAAGGAAGGAAAGGATGAAATTATTTACAGACGAATCCATCCTGCTGAAGCAGAGGATAAATAATTAAAGAAACATAAACAATTCATTCTGTTTGGTCTCCATTAAAAGTGTTGTGCTCAGATGTGTCGATGATTCTGATTGGTTTCTTGTCTCGAGTTATAACAACATCGACTGTAATATCTATTTTCATTGGGCCACCTCGAGAACTGTGTCCGAGACAATGCACATCTCCTGATATCATTTTTACATGAGCATCTTTCTAGATTTGAATATGATCCGAGGTCAAAATGATATTTGAGAGCCCGAGTGACAAGAAATTCATCATGTTAATTTCAATTTAACCACCAAAGTGAGCTAATATTATATTATCTGTCCAGCATTCATAAACTGAATTTAAACAAACTTTTGATGACAGTTTGAGTTCCAGAGTGGCAGCCCTAATTTATGTAGATTGCAGCGGAAATAGAGTTCAAATATAGACAATATCATCAGGACATTGACAAAATCAATGAATATAAAGCGGGGTCGGGTATCACTGAACACTTAGGGGGAAAACCTACTAACAACAAAGAAGTGTGTTTTACGCTCTCCAACTTGTATGGTAACATATCTTAAGTATAAGGCGTTATTTCTACCAATATTGGGTTTGAATTGGAGGGAGATATAACATCACTGTAAGGTGCGTTCTATTATTTTACATAGTTACTGAACCAGTCAACGATTAATGAACACCATGGAGGGTATTACTGAACACTTCTTTTATTTCTTATGAAATATCTATCAAAGGTCTATAAATTGAATCAAACATATCTTAAATGAAAATTGTCCAGACTGCAAAGGCACGCCCCTGGTTTTAGTGCAATTTATGAATTATGTTCAGTAACTGCCTCCGGTTCAATAATACCCGAACCCGCTCTAACTGGTAAGCATTATAAAATATGAACTTTATTCATTTTATATCAATTATAAAACAAGTTATTTCAACTTGTATTTCTCACCTTTGTTGGCCCGGATGTTAATGCACAGGGGCTCTTAATGTAGGGTCAGGCAGGTGCCTTCCAAAAACTTAAACTGATTAACTTATTTACTAACGGACATAAAGACGATGAGGACAAAATAACGACGTCACGTTTCCATAGCATTTAATGATGCAGAATTCTTAGAAAGCAGTTACTTTAATTCATCAATTTGTCATTATTTCAAGACGTGTGAAATACAACATCTTGTATTGTATGGCCTGAAAACCAATTATATCACTATAATAAGATTTACAAGGTTTGGAATATAAAGCTGTGCATTTATTAAACAATGGGTTTACAAAACATTCGTCCTTAAAAGTACATTGCTGACGGACAAACTTACCACACAGGGTTTAGACAAATGTAATTGTTGATAAAAAAAACAAGTTTTGTGGTCTCCAATATGATCTTACTAGGTAATGTTCAGATAAATTTTTTATTTAAATTTCCTCTGCATTCTTCCATTGTAATGCATTGCGAAGGCACATGTTGTTATGAGACTATAACAACATTTTCTATTGTAACGTCATCAATCTCTATTATGACGTCAATAATTTCATTGTTGTCAACACTTGGTTTGCTGTTCAAAATCTGTTCGAAATAACTAAATAAAGCATAACTACATAAAATGTATACCACAAGGCGTTCCACATTCTGGTGTTTTACCTTAATCTAACAGCTAATTGAAAATTTACCAATAAAAATTGAAATTCAAAATGCGTATTTTAACTTCCGTATAACTGTTTTGAAAGTCAGAGCTCTAGTTTTTTCTGTGATCATCTAAATAAAATCCCATGCATATATTGCGCTTTTTTGCTTCACCCTACTTGATCATAATAATTTGAAACTCCATTCCATAATAAGCTTACCTTAGACTATATATGCAAAAAAAAAATCTTATCCACTTACTGTAAGTATTAAAGTAGGCATCCCTTCTTTAACCAATCAGAAGCTAAAACACTGGCAATCTTGTCTGATAGGAAAACTGTAAGCTGCAGCGGTCGAGCTCGCAATACTTTTATACCAAACTAGATGAAATTCGGACAATATTTTAGTTTTGACCAATAAGAAGCCAGGATATGACATCCCTCTTGTCTTATCTGAAAATGGAAGTAGAGAGGGAGTTCGCATTACTCAAAATTTACCTAAGAAGCAATATTGCTCAAATTGTTTAGTATCTAAATTTCGACCATTATAAAGCCGTGGCATGCATGTCAGTCATCCTGTCAACTTGAGGTTACCGAATTCCCGAAGTGGCAGACGAGTTTACAGTGCCATTATACTTTTTGTACCTAAACTAAACTAAAATAGAGTGGGAAGCAAAAGTGGTGGCCAAGCTATTTTATGAGAAATCGCTGTCTTCAGAGGACTTAGGAAAGTCAAGTGTCATTCCAAGAAGAAAATAACTGACAAATAAGTAAAGATCTGGTACGTCGCATTTTCAAGGCATCAGTAATCATGTAGTACTTATAATTACAATTTTTATATAGCAATTCATATATAAATACATAGGTCTATAGAATTGCAATCTAGTTAAAATCATATCTTCGCATTGTGACATGTCGGTAAACGGGAGCGATGCGAATATAAAATGTTAATTACATTGACAGTATTGAAGATTTCCCACACATAATCATACGTAACATGCTATAGGGTTGCAGGGCTTTGATTATGTTTATTACCACCTGTTTACCTTAAGCTGTAATGAGGTTTATATGGCAGTACTATAAAAATGCATATAAAAGCGGTAATCACATTTCAGAGATATATAGGTAGACATTTTGCGGCAATTTATGATTCATTTTTTCACATTCTTTCCGTTGCATGCGTTTGGATAAAGAGTTCAGCAACGCGCTGACGTACGTATATCAATATGAACATCAAATAACGACCGTTATTCAACATGGTGAATAACGGTCATAAGTTGTGAAAGTTTTTAGCTCACCTGCCCGAAGGGCAAGTGAGCTTATGTCATGTCCGTCCGTCGTTCGTCCGTCCGTCAACTTTTCCTTTAAACAACTTCTTCTGAAGAACGAACAGGCCTAGGGTCTTGATATTTAACTGAAAGCTTTGCTGGTAGGAGCCTGACAAAGTTTGAGAACGAAAATGACCTAGACTTACTTTCAAGGTCACAGGGGTCAAATATATCAAAAACTTCAAACGCCTTCTTCTGAAGAACTAAAAGGTATAGAATCTTCATATTTGGCTGATGAATTCCTGGGATCGAGCTCAACAAAGTTTGAGAATGAAAATGACCTTGACCTGCTTTCAAGGTCACAGGGGTCAAATGTGTCCAACACTTTAAACGACTTCTTCTGAAGAACTGAAAGGTATAGAATCTTTATATTTGGCTGGTGGCTTCCTGGGATAGAGCCCAACAAAGTTTGAGAATGAAAATTAGTTTGACCTACTTTCAAGGTCACAGCAGTCAAATATGTCAAATGCTTCAAACGACTTCTTCTGAAGAACTGAACAGTATAGCATCTTTGTATTTGATTGATGGCTTCCTGGGATAGAGCCCGGCAAAGTTTGAGGAGGAAAATGACCTTGACCTACTTTCAAGGTCACAGCAGTCAAATATGTCAAATGCTTCAAACGACTTCTGAAGTACTGAAAGGTAAAGAATCTTTATATTTGGCTGGTGGCTCCTGGGATAGAGCCTGACAAAGTTTGTAAACGAAAATGACCTTGACCTACTTTCAAGGTCACAGGAGTCAGATATGTCTAATGCTTAAAACGACTTCTTCTGAAGAACTGAAAGTTATAAAACCTAAATAGTTGGCTTGTAGCTTTCTGGGAAAGAGCCCAACAAAGTTTGAGAATGAAAATGACCTTGACCTACTTTTAAGGTCACATTAGGCAGATATGTCAAACACTTTAAACGCCTTCTTCTGAAGAACTGGAAGGTATAGAACCTTAATATTTGGTTGGTTATTTCCTGGGAAGGAGCCCAACAAAGTTTGCGAATGAAAATGACCTTGACCTACTTTCAAGGTCACATTAGGCAGACATGTCAAACACTTAAAACGACTTCTTCTGAAGAACTGGAAGGTATAGAACCTTAATATTTGGTTGGTTATTTCCTGGGAAGGAGCCAAACAAAGTTTGCGAATGCAAATGACCTTGAGTTACTTTCAAGGTCACAGCGTTCAAATATGTCAAACGATTCAAACTACTTCTGAAGAAGAATTAAATGGCATAAAATTATAGTATTTGGCTGGTGACTTCCTGAGATAGAGTTCACCAAAGTTTGTGAATGAAAATGACCTCAACCTACTTTCAAGGTCACAGGAGTCAGATATGTCTAATGCTTAAAACGACTTCTTCTGAAGAACTGAAAGTTATAGAACCTAAATAGTTGGCTTGTAGCTTTCTGGGAAAGGGCCCAACAAAGTTTGAGAATGAAAATGACCTTGACCTACTTTCAAGGTCACATTAGTTCTATTTTGTATTATACTGTTCTATTTTGTATATATTGATCTGTTATGTATACAATGTTCTATTTTGTATATATTGATCTGTTATGTATACAATGTTCTATTTTGTATTATACTGCTATTTTGTATTATACTGTTCTATTTTGTATATAATGTTCCATTTTAAATATATTGATCTGTTATGTATACAATGTTCTATTTTGTATATATTGATCTGTTATGTATACAATGTTCTATTTTGTATATATTGATCTGTTATGTATACAATGTTCTATTTTGTATATAATGTTCTATTTTGTATATATTGATCTGTTATGTTATGTACACAATGTTCTATTTTGTATTATACTGTTCTATTTTGTATATAATGTTCTATTTTGTATATATTGATCTTTTATGTATGAATTGTTCTATTTTGGATGAATTGTTCTATTCTGTATGCATTGTTCTATTTTGTATGAATTGTTCTATTGTATATATTGTTCTATTTTGTATGAATTGTTCTATTTTGTATATATTGATCTGTTATGTATGAATTGTTCTATTTTGTATGAATTGTTCTATTTTGTATTATACTGTTCAATGATGTATATATTGATCTGTTATGTATTCATTGTTCTATGTTATGTGTTTTGTTCTATTTTGTATGCATTGTTCTTTTTTGTATGAATTGTTCCATTTTGTATGAATTGTTCTATTTTATGTGCATTTTTCTATTTTGTATATATTGATCTGTTATGTATGAATTGTTCTATTTTGTATGAATTGTTGTATTTGTATGAATTGTTCTATTTTGTATGAATTGTTCTATTTTGTATGAATTGTTCTATTTTGTATGAATTGTTCCATTTTGTATGAATTGTTCTATTTTATGTGCATTTTTCTATTTTGTATATATTGATCTGTTATGTATGAATTGTTCTATTTTGTATGAATTGTTCTATTTGTATGAATTGTTCTATTTTGTATGAATTGTTCTATTTTGTATGAATTGTTCTATTTTGTATGAATTGTTCTATTTTGTATTATACTGTTCAATGATGTATATATTGATCTGTTATGTATTCATTGTTCTATTTTATGTATATTGTTCTATTTTGTATGCATTGTTCTATTTGTTATATGCATTATACCGACTTATGGAATGGCGACGCATTTAAAGTAGAAATACATTAACGACATAAGAAAACGGAGAGAAAGAGATATTTTCGATAAAATATGTAAATGATAAACAGGGCCATTAAATATGGTATGTTATTACTTACGTTTAAATAAAATATTTATTTGAAAATTGCATTTAATTGTTTTCACTTTTGCTTAGTGTCTGTCTTATGTCCTACATAGGATAACTGTATCTTAATACGATGATCAAGGTGAACGCAAAAAACAGTTTGGTGTGGAAAAATGATGGTACAAAACTTCCTACTGAAATTTACTTTGGTAGAATTTATTTTGTTTAACATTTTATTCAAAACTTTCCATTTGAAATTTCTATATTTATTTTAACCTTTTTTTATTTAACAACCATTACGAACCAAGTTTTTCATCATTTATTATTCAAACAACTCTTGTTGGCCCAGATGGAAGCATGCAGAAGGTCTTAATATAGTTTCCTGGTAGGAAACTGAAGTACCCGGAGAAAACCTGTGTGGTCGGGCATGTGACCAAATACCTTTTCATGTCTGATTGCGAGGTCAAACCCATGTCAGTCTTTACAAGTGTGCTATCTACTGCGTCATACGATCATGTGTCACTTTGTGATATTCCAACAAATTACAATGAAAATGGCTTCCCATTTAATAGGTGACTAGCATGAATGTGTCTGTTTAACATATTTCAATTAAATGGTAAGTTTACTTGGCTCTATAATACTAAAACCTTGTGTTTTGTAAATTAACTAACTCAAGTTAGATAAACATGATAATCAACCATCATGAGTTTGGAGACCCTTTTACTCCCAGTGTTGATATTTTTTTATCTAGAAAACCAAAGGATACAGTTTTAGAGTAAATGCCTTACATTAATTATAAATGGAATAGCTCCAGTAATTTCTAACTTAAATGCAACAATGACAAAAAAAACACTTCAATTATACACAGCAGTTGACAAGTCCAACAATAAATAATCTATGAATTCATAACAATCACACCAACATAATAGTAATGATTTATTTTCATAAATAGATGTCACTTCATATCAACATATGCATCGATTCATTTCTTATGATGAAAACCATGCACATATTGCCGTTTATCTTCATTAATTAATTATTTCAATTGTTTAAGACAATAGAACCTTTCATGCTAACTAATGGACACTTAACATTAGATTGCATACACAAAAATATGTAAATGACTCGAAATTAAAATCTCCCAAGTAATTGTCATGATTTTCACCTGAAGATGCGCATTTGCGTTTTGCCTACCAGCAACCACAGCTCATGTAAAAGGGTTGATACATATAGGTAATATCTTTGACATCATACAATAACATTGAATGATATTACACGCAGATATTTATTCCATTCCATTTACGGGGGGGTATACAGTAAATCTAGCACTTAAAACAACTACATCAAAGTTCTTTTTCCAGCAAATAGAAAGATATTTTACAAAGACAATCTTGACAAAATTTGATTAGATATTTTAACCCCCTACATATAAACTTTACATATCAACCCTACTGTACAAAGCTGACGTTATCATAGGCAAGGATGCTACGTTTGACGAGTTTTCAGCTGTCAATATGAATATCCTCAAGAACAAGAGGCCCATGGGCCTTAACGGTCACCTGAGTCTACAGTATTTATTTTTGTTGTTGAAATATGTACCAATTTGAGTAAAAAATAGTATAATGTTAACTTAACTTTGTCAGGACCATGAGCTGATCATTCCTAGACCAATTTTAAGTGAGATCGGCCTATTAGAACTTAGTAGCAAAATAGCGGCCATGGCAGCCAAATTGTATTTCTGATTGACCCGAAAAATAACAACACTTTGTCAGGACCATGAGGCGATCATTCCTACCAACTTTCAGTTCAATCGGTCCAACAGAACTTGACTTTAAGTTTGAAATAGGTTTTCAAAATGGCGGCCGTGGCGGCCATATTGGATTTCTGATCGACCCGAAAAATAACAACACTTTGACAGGACCATGAGGCGATCATTCCTACCAACTTTCAGTTCAATCGGCCCAGCAGAACTTGACTTTAAGTTTGAAATGTAAAATGTTGACGGACGACGGACGACGACGGACGAAAACGGATAGCAATAGGTCACTTGAGCTAAAGCTCAGGTGACCTAAAAATGTCCCCTTGAAATTAGCTTGAATTATTTTACAAATGTTGAAGAATAATTCACCAAAAAATTGGCATTGCAAATGTCACTTATACGATCGAGAAATCTGTACAGTTGAACACTCCATTTCAATATCTATTCTGGCGCTGATTTCGACGACCTGAAAAATATTTAAAAAATCCAAATATTATATTTATTTCCCTTGTTAATTACCAGTACATAACAGAAATTGAATGTTAGGTCATTTTTATATGCCAATAAATTTTATTACATAGCATAGCATCCTGGGATTGTAAGGATTTGGAAAATGTTGAATGATTATAAAAATCTTCGAAATTCTCAGAAAAACGGTCATAATACACACTTTCTTTTCAATGAAGTTCATACTATGGGGAAGGGATGGGATGCTTAACCCTTTCACCACTGTAAACCATAATGGGCTCATCCATATCAATGCATGGTAGAGTCAACTAAAGTTACATAGTGACGAAAGGGTTAGACCAGAAAAAGATTAGGGTTGCTTATAAATCAGACCAACAAATGTCCATATTTTTTCCCCCGTATAAAAATAAATAAATAAATATATATAAAACATTTGATATAGCCCCCTATCTAGCTAGAATAAGCCAGTCTAAAGTGCTTTACAGCATATAGATATACAATGTCCTACAATTAACAAATACAATTTTGAAGAATTTGCAGGAGCTGCCTTATCAGACTCTAACTACTCATCCTGTGCCACCTGGCAAATATCTCCCTGTGTGTGTATGCCTGCATGTGTGCTTGAGATGTGTTACATGCATATAAAACTGTCTTATTTTTTTTTACATATACCTCATATTAGGGGTGTAACGATATACCGGTATACCGGTATATTGTGATACAGCTGAGAAACGATATGTATTGCAATACGATTTTCCATATACCGGTATTTTCGATATTTATTCTCCATGAATTATTTTGAAATTTTTCATTCACATTACGAGCAAATTACAATAAAACCAGCTAGGTAGTCGTAGGCGCTTTCTCGACGTTTTTGTTTTTTGTCCCGGAAGCGGTAGTGTGTTTACAGTAAACACGCAAGTGCGAGCGAAAACGAAAGTAGTCGCGGGAAAGATGGCGGAGGAAAAGGACGAAAGCTTCAGCATCATTCCTAATAAGAAGGCTAAGTCCGATATATGGCAACACTTTGGCTTGAAGCAAGCAATTAATGCATATAAATTAAACAGGATTGTTTGTTGTTGTAAATGAGTACTAGGTCAACACAATATTACACTTATTTCAGGTACTTACCTTTTCGTTTTGACAGTTTCTGCTATTTCTGTGTATCGCAATACGTATCGCAATATGACTCTCCAATATCGCAATATATCGCAATATGGGTTTTGCTGTATCGTTACACCCCTACCTCATATAATAGTCAATGTGATGTCAGAATTAAGACAATAGATACAGAGTTATACCGTTGTGACAATGACAACAATAGACAGGCATTAAAATGACGTGACTTTATGCTGATGAAAAAAATGTGTGCTTCACACTCATGATAAGAGTCTATGTACCTCAGTTGCAGAACAATATACGCCTAACTTAAGCCAAATTGACACACTAAAATTCCTTCTGAAATATTTGTGTATTAAGTGCAACAACAAGAACATTTTGCCCTATATCATATGAGTTCTAAAGATGAATTATTTCTGGAATATGGTGAAAGGATGGTTATTTCTTATTTCCAAGTCTGATTAAAACAACTTTTACAGTATAAAACTAATTCTGAACGAGACAAGATTTGTATAATGATAGTGTGGTAATCTACAAACCTTCCCAGCTGTTTTGGTTCTGGTTGTTGTATCCTCCTCCGTACTGTTTCCACCCGGGCTTGTTATCACCGCCCCTGTTGTCATTATACCGGTTTTTGTTTTGCCAGCCCTTGTTATCTCCATCATTGTAGCGATTCTTGTTCTGCCAGTTTTTGTTATCACCCCCACCATCGTAACGTTTCTGACCACCCTTCCCCTGCCAGCCTCCTTGGTTCTGGTTATTATTTTGGTAGCCGAACTGCTGATCTGAAATCAGACGAAGAAAAGATACGTTAGAATTAACAGTTCACAACTTACATATCTTGTTGGAAGTTCTGTTGTCTAAAAAAATAGAAATTACAGACATTGTAGTTTACATTATGTTTCAAATAAAACAAAATAAAACAAATTCAAGTGGGGTTCCCAAAGATATACTTCTCACTTACCGATCAAGAGATCAAAAGTGTTTAAGTGTGACTTTTGATCCATTAACTTTCCTGATCCATCATAATCAGGTGTAGAACTTGATGTTAGTATACAATGTGTAAGTATGAAATTAAGTCTCTTGAAGGATAGGATATCTTTTTAACGAAGTTTTTTTTAAACTTCAAAATCGGTCAAATGTCACCTTTGACCTTTTAACCCTTTTACCCCTGTAGATATGGATGAGTCCATTATGGTCTACGGTGGAGAAAGGGTTAACCTTGAAAGACGACAACCAAATCTTATCATGTGTAGAATTTAACTTTATAATATATATATATACTACGGTGTCAATTAAATCCTCTAATGGTTCAAGAAATATCTTGTACAAAAGCTCATTACCAAAGTACTTAAAAGTGGTCAAGTGAAACCTTCCACACCAAAATCTAATTAGGTGTGTAACTTATAGAATAACCATTATATGGTATAAATATTAACGAAGACAGTATCTCATCTTAAATTGTTTAAGAAAATGTGAAGATTGATAAAAAAAAAATTAAGTGATTCCCAGACCCAACCCTACAAAGAACATCGAGAAATTCTGGTTAACCTTAAAGAAAAGGAAGTCCCATATTACAAATGTATGTACTGTCTTTTCATAACAAACTATGTAAAATAAATCCTTACCTTTTTTCCCAAAATCATATTCAGATAATACAGAGGTCAGTTTAATTGCAATGTTAAAAAAAAACTTTTTAATACCCTTTGAAAATTAATAAACTTTATCCTTTAACTCATTCACCCCTGAAATTTCATAATGAACTATTCTATTCCAACCTTTGAATTGTAAGGGTTCAAATGTGTTTTCAGGGGTGAATGAGTTAATCAATTACGTACACTTGTATGTTCTACTGTATAACAGTAAACACTTTCCATCAGACTAAGAAATTTGCATTTGTGAAATGGTTTTGTAACTATATATCCACAAAAGTAAAACAACAGCTAAATGTTTCATGTAACAAGTTATCCAGAATAACAGGGGTACATATGCATGTCCATAATGTTTTTACCAAAGTATTTAACAGTACCATTCCAAATCAAAGTCTAGTGGAGCCTTGATAATACAGACACTAATAATCCAAAAACGTCATTACAATCACATGCTTTTATTGAATTACTCTGATTCCAGAATGTTGTGACAATTCCTTACTATTTAAATTAAATGAAGAAAATTTAGTACTGTAGTTAGAAATGTTATGGTTTAAAAGTGTCTGGATCTATTAGAGTCCACTGTTCAAACTAGCGACAAATAGAAAACAATTCTCCAACCCAAAACCACACCAGGCCAGGGTAGGAAAAAAGGCAGGTATTACAACCAGATCCAACATCTTGCATACATCGTACCTACATGAACATACACAGCTGATGGAAATAGGTTGGGTGAAATATCGGATGACAGCACTAGGGTTTCGTGTATCCGGTTCAACCATTTGAAACGGTTGAACCTGAAATAAAATGATAGGCACAGATCTGAACCGAGGCTAACCTCGGGAATATTTGGCACGTGTAGATTGAAGGGTCCAGACGTACCTGACCGAAACGAAAATGCTGTCTTTTACTAGTTGGCGTTATTGTTTTATAAAACAAGGTCAAGGCACATAAAGATTTTAAGATACGCTATATAATTTAGTGGACGTGTGAAAGAAGAACATATTATTCTGGATATATTAATTGTTAATTTATTCTTTGAAACTGTGCATTTTTTAGCTCTGCCTATAGTTCGGTCCAAGTGCGTTCGTTTATTGTAGAATATTTCTGCGCCACCTTAACCATTTCAACCGGGATACGTGAATGTAACCTAGTTCTGGGAGGGTTGTAGATGGCAAGGGAAGACAACTCACACCAAGTGAAGAAACTCACCACTCCAAGATTAATTGCGAGTCAAAACTCTGTATTGAGAGAGGGTAAATAGTTACGCTGCTAAAATATATAAAAGCTGAAGCAACTACATCTTCTTTAAGTTATACCGGAACAATAAGTTTAAGACAAAATAGGATACACACTTAAGATTAACTGGAAATATCGGTGTTTAAGTTACATAATTTTCATGCAGTAAAGGAAATAGAGGTGAATTTTCCAGAAAACTCGCCTTGATCAGGAACTAGAGAACCACCTTTGTTAGCTGAAATGTTGAGAAGATAGATTCTATATTCTCTCAGGGTCAGAACAGTTTGAAATATGATTTTGATATGTACAATACATCTACAGAAAAACAAGAATATTAATTACCAATGGTACTACAGGCTTAGTGCTATAAACAATCTTCTTGAAAACGAAGTCTTTCTATAGAAAATATCTAATTCAGCCTTTATATAATTTTGTCTGCTGGGTTTTTTTCTTAAGAGAAAATTTCAACTCAATTACCTCCGTTTGTCATAATCGTATTGGGCTAAAAAATAATTTACATTTCTCATTATTTCGTTATCTTCTCTATAATAATTTTACTTAATTGGATGAGATACTATTGGATTACCTCCGTTTTATTTATTTTATTGCAGCAAACTGCTTCCATGCATTGCATGATTTTCTGATTTCTAAACTTTGGTTATTTTGTGAATTTTATGTTTTTTCCCCAAAACTGAACTTTGGCCATTTTGTGAATTTGTATCAAGTGTTACTTTAATATTGAACATCAAATGAGACACACCAGCTGACTCAATTCACAGTTGAACAGAATGAGGTAAAGTAAATAGACTTGGACCTTGTTGTGACCAGTTCTGAAGATGAATTTAAGGTATTAGTAATTTTAATGAAACACAATCCTGGTTATCAAGTATTGTCACAGTATTGTTTAGTTGTCTGACATAATATTAATGTTAACTCATTCACCCCTACATATCTTAACTGGACTTGCCCAGTCCTTGATTTGGTAAGGTGCAAATGTGACTTTAGGGGTGAATGGGTTCACACCACTAGTCTATAGATTAAGACTATCTACAAAGAGAGGTAACTCTTAGGGCTGTAACAATATATGGGAAAACAGGTATATCGCAATACACAGGTATATCGTATTGTACCACAATACAGAGATGAAATCTTGCTGTATCTCAATATTTTTCAAAAGCATATTTTTATGTATCTGCTTGGTGTTTTAACTTTGCAAATGACCACAAATTCTAACAGACATGCCAATAAGCATAAAACAGGCTTTCAATAGTTCAAATTTTGTAATCAATGGTTGGTTTGACAAATATCTTAAACCTATGTAATCCGTATTATATATGATTAAGTTTGATCAATTGAGCACATCCTTCCTATGACAATATATATTGGGATACGTATCGCAATATAATCATTCTGTATAGCAATATATCGTGATACACTCTTGGTGTATTGTGACACCCCTAGTAACTCTAGTCTCTATACATCCTCTCTTACTTTGTTTGCCGAAGAAAAGATTTCCCTGCTTGACATCCATAAACCTCTCATTGTTGTCGACGAGAGACGAGACTTTCTCCGAGAGTTGGAGGGCGAGGGACTGGAGACGTGTTGGCTCTGTACGGTGCATCACAACAGTTTGTGTAGGTTCGTCCAAGGATGCCTGTAGAGATAAATGCGGAGAATTCAATGCACTTCCACCGTGACATAGTTTTTCTTAACTATACCACTGCACAACTATGTGCACACAATAGTGATTCTGTTGTTAATATCTAATATCGTTTTTTACTAAAACCAGGAGAATCGGAAAAATAACTTCTAATAAACACTGTCATCTTTAATTTTTCTCTCTTTTTTTAAAAAATATTTCATTTCCCCCAGCCAAATATTATATATATATTTCGTCTCTCTTACCATGAGTTCCTCGTTGAGGATCATCTTACTGATGATGGAGTGAACAACAGAGCGATCAAGTTCAAACATGTTAGCGAGTGTGAAAAGGCTGAGGGAGTCGTACACACTGCTGTAGGTGAACAGGTAGGTACGCAGACTTTCCTCCTGGATCTTAGTCGTGATCATCTCCTGTACTTTCAATGGTTTAAAGAACAGATCCCAAACCTACAACCAAATAAAGATAGTGTTAACACTCCTGTTGAAGATAAACCTTGTGGTGACTTAGGAAAAACTTGAAAATACACGGGGTATTCAAGCTCTACCAAAACGTAAAGAATTAAACTGATTTACATGGTATTCCAAGACCTCACACTAAAAATTTGTAGAAATAAACTGATAAACAGATTATTTAAGACCTAACATTACCTCTTATAAAACCATTTACAGGGTATTCCAAGACCTCACACTACAAATTTATAGAAATAAACTGATAAACAGATATTTCAAGACCTCACAATACCTCTTATAAACCCATTCACACGGTATTCCAAGACCTCACACTAAAAAATTATAGACTAAACTCTCAGAGGCTGAAAAAATCACTATTTACTTTAATCAATTAAAGAGGATTCAAATTATTTTAATTCATAGATTTGTAACAAAATTATAGATTTATTTCTATATTTCCTTCCAAGTTCAGCAAAGTGTGATAAAAAAATGTGCTTAAAAGACTAATAAGACTTGGTTGCCTTCTGCATTTGTGAGTTGAAAAAGTTGTCTAAATGACGTTTGTGCAGACCATAATTAAAGGTAAAAAATTGTCACAATGAACATGTTTCTGCAACATTATCAAAGCTCTGTAGACTATCACAGCCTAAGTTATGTTCCTTTGAATATCAGTAGAGTATGTATAGACGTGGTTTCCAGTAGTATCTGAGCCTGGACATCGTGAGCCTGCTCGACTCCGCATCAATTGATTACCTTGGTGCTCATCTTCTCGTTAATGATGTAGTTCTTGCACTCTTTCCAATTACCAGTCTTCATGGCCTTGGAAGCAGCTACAACATGCTCCCTCATACTCTCCGGCGGCCCGGTCAGCGTCTGCCTCTCACTCATTCGTAACACGTGATGGAAATTCTTACTTATCATACGCCGACGAGCATCCATTTCATGAGCTGTTGATGGAAAAATGTAAGAAACTCTCTTTAATCTGTAACGATTGATTGTGCAAGTGATAACTAATTATATGCATAAAGAACTTACTTATATTGCAGTTTTGGGAAATTAAGGATAGCTCATATTTGTAGTCCACAAAGTTTTTCCAACTGTTTTTTTCTTGTACCTTTCTTCTTTTTAATTCTACATCTGACCTCTATAACTGCTATGAGAGGCTATTTTTTTTATCTTTATCTTACCTTTGACCTCTATGACTGTATAACTGCTATATGAGGTTATTTTAGTCGGTAATCTTACCTTTGACCTTTGTGATACCTTATCCATACTTGCTATGTAAGGCTGCTTTTAATTGGATTTCTACCTTTAATTTGTTCTGACTGTTAAAGTCAGAACTCCTGCTCTATATAAGCACAGTAAAAATATTAAAAAAAAAAAAAAAAAAATTGCCTACCTACCTACCCTATTTTTCCTGAGGACGATAGAGAAAACACAAGTAATTGTTTTTTTTGGCCTATAGGAGATGTATTTTTTTCCTTTTAAAGTAAACCTGTCTCCTCGAGGACCTTGTACATACCTGCCATGTAGGGTATCTCCATAAGCATTGCAGACACCAGGTACACACACTCTAACTGCTCGAGGTTGATGTGCATGTGATACGGCAGTAGACGTCGCTTCTCTATCTTCTCCTGTTCTGGGGTTCTCTCATGTTGTCTTTGTAATAACAGCCCCTAGAAACAACAGTACAACACTACAATATCCCTACCTTTATGGTGGTGAGGAATAATTGATTTACTAGGCTGTTGGAACAGAAGGCCAGAAATTATTTCATGTATGTAATTCTTTCATAATTTATATTTTGTAACATTTCTATCAATTTCTGTGTTGATTTCATGGAAAGTTTATATTTTTTTACAATATTTTTTCCAAAAGTTAGTGTTTTTATACTTATATATACCATTTAAGCTTCTTTTTGGCTTCTACATGTATTGTCTAAGGTGTGTAAATCCTAAATTGTAAGACCGTTCAACATATTCATTTGAATGTTCACATTCAACTATACCAAGTCTTGTGTTTAATTGAAATCATAGCCACTAAGTAGGTTAACCCTTTCACCCCTATGTAACTTTAGTCGACTCTACCATGCATTGATTGGGCCGATTTCCATTAGGGTCAACAGTGGTGAAAGGGTTAATGTCAACAAAGAAGAAATCCCTAAGGTAATTAAGCCAGAGTTTAACGATGATTAATGCTCCGATATGTAAACCACAATCATATTTTTTAAGCCTTCAATAGATATTTGTTGGGTGTTTCGTAAGAACACACTAGTTGTATAATCGCTAAAAATGAAAGATGCTATATATATATTAAGGTAACCAATGATTTCTTACAGAAAATTCTTTATTTAGATTATGCTAAAAATGTAAAGTTCAAAATCCTCTGATGTACCACCAGAGAAAAATTGTGAGACAAACAGAATAAATAAAGTTATGTAAAGTATGCCACGAGCAGAGGAAAGGAACACTAAAAGTTTCACATAACTCTTAAATGTCATCATTACCAAACCAAAATGATTGATTTAATTTCTCTGAACCATATTTATTAAGCATTCTGTATACCGAAAAAATTGTCGCCATGTAAAATATTCGCCCTTTGCCAACATATTTTTACATTTGCCTTATGTTAATTTTGCCTTTCACATGTAATAACTATATATTGTATGTAGTTTACATGTAATTACTAATATTTTCTGTCATCATTATATAATTGAAGAGGGGGAAAAAGACAAAAGCTTCACAGCGGCAAAAAAAATCCCAGTACACGTACTACTAAGATAACTAGATTCAACTGTATTTATGAAAAATTCCACAAATAATTCAAATGAAATTGTGCTATTACCTGTGCCAGTAGCTCCTTAGCACGGCCGCCACTCTGGATGTCGACAAGAGCATTATGGGCGTCACGTGTCATTCCTTGTCTAAAAGCACATAGACCAAGCTGTACCATGGTTCTGTTGTACAGGATCTACAGGAACAAAAGGTTTAGGTTCTAACTTAACATTCACCAAAACATTTTTATCAACATACTGACAACAACAAATTGTCTATATGATCAGGGCTATACCAGAAATATGTGTATGGTGGTAAGAGGTAACAAGCTTAGGAGGCATGTTTTTGTGACTTACATCAGACAATTGATTTTTTCCCAGTGCCTAATATTATACAAATTTAATAGCTTTTTCTTCACCCCATCACCCATATCATATCAATTATAAGTGCCTCAGTCCCTCCCCACCAATTCAAACCATAGAAAAATTGATTGTTGCCAATATTTGCTTTTCATTTATTTGACCTTTGACCTAAAGATGGAGTTCACAGTGGCCTAAATGGAATGCACTACAGCATACCCTCTTCAAGTGTCGTCAACAAATTTTCAATGGTTTGAAATTTATAGCTCTGACAAGATTTTACTGAAATTTTTGCACTTGATTTGACCTTAAAACCTAGAGGTGAAGGTCATTTTGACTTGGTTACAGTCAACCGGACACCTCCTTGGGGTGATACAACTATAACTTAGTTTCATCACATATATCTACAGCGATTAAAATGTTATGGCCCGACAACATAACATTAGGAGAGACATAATAACCTATGACCTATGACCTCTGTTCAGAGCTGATGGTTCATTGACCCTGACCTGTTTGGGTTTCACTGAAAAACTTGAAATAAATCAAATGAGCCTGTAACATAAGTCATTATTCCTCTACTAGGGCTCAAATCTGACACCTCTCATCTGCAAGTCTGACACTCTATCAAACGAGCTAAAGAGAAGTTATCCCTAGCAGAGTCAGTAGGAAGCAGGTGGTATTTTGCCAGGGTGACAATAGGAACTCTTTAACTTCCCCTATATAGCTATCACGCATGACCTGTGAAGGAATAATTATTTACATTCTCTTTGACATATTAATTGACAAAATTCAGTATCTCCTGACCTGTGTGGGGACATCTGAGTGGTGGATGTTGTCCTGGAGATGAGACATGAGCATAAGGTCGCGGGCCTGGTACCAGCGGTCGTGTAGAGCATGGTGGTAGATTTGACACAGCATGGCTCTCGTCCTCAGACGATCAGTGATGTCCTTGGCATAAATATATTTACAGAGTTCTGCCATCAGGAGCTTACTCTTATCCACTCCCTGTAATGTGAAGCTGACTGTCAGTGTCCATATCAATCACTGGAGTTTTACATCCAAATCAACTACAATATCGGATATAACAATATGAGAAAATGCGCGAGGTGAACATTTCACAAGATAGGCTTAAAATGTCAGACTTAATTTATTTTAATTAGAAAATATTCCCTGCTTCTGATGGAATTGAAGCTAAAGGCAGTGTCTAACCAAAGAAATGGAGCTAAACTGTGTATTCAAAGTCAGTGAAGCAGAAAATGTAGGTCACAGTGACCTTTACTTGATATGACTGCTGTATTACTCCTCAAAATGCATCCATAAATGACGTGTGATGTCTTTTAAACAATAGTATTGGAGTAATAGGGCTATTAAATCTCAAAGTCTGAATTACATGCCATATGGACTGCTGGAAAAGGAAAAACATTAATGCCCCATCTATTATGTTGTGGAGGCATAAATACATGAATTATAAGGAAATAAATCTTAAATTAGGAACTAAAACTAATTATGGCGAGATCTTTTTTCATTTTATACAATTTTGAATGGTCAACCACTCTACACTAGACAGAAATTATGTACTTACATCAAATGCTTCATCAAAGATGGTACGATCAAACTGAAAAACATTTATTTAGAAAGATTAGTACTGATCAGTGTGATGTTTAATACAATTTTCATCAAGTATCTTAATAATAATACAGTAAGTAAACACAGTTGTATATATTTGCATTACAAATATCTTAATCAAGTTATGTTAAATATACTGTTATAATTCATGATAATGTTCGAAGTAACATTTTCAAATTAATTTTTAACATGATGTCAAACAAGATCATTACAATGAAATTAAAAAAAAAATGCCAACAGGATATTTTGAAACAAAGGCTCTTTCATTGTAACTAAGATAGGGAAATCTGCTCTGTGGACTTCAGGTTATACTCAAATTCAAAATACTTGTACAATCATGTGGATTTTGATTTCTATCTTAATACACACATATGAAAAGAGTCTAATGTATTTTGTTGTTGAGGAATGTAAAATTGTGTTGTGGCCACTTCAGCCACTGTATTCCTAGGTCACGTTGTGGACAGAGTAGCATGACATCAGGTCACATCTGACCATGGGCTTACAAAAGTGCCTCGGGAGACACCATCAAAAAGGCAAACAGTACAATAAAGAATGAAAATATGGACACCAGAAGTGTACCAATGGGTGCAACCGATCAATGTTGGTCCCTATAATGTCCCTTTATTATGTCACAGTGAAGAAATCCTGCATTCTGTAGATGAAAGTCACCTTATACCATGTTTACAAGAGCTATACCTTGTAGTATGTGTGCTCCACCCTGCGAAGGTAGATACGACACAGCTCTGCAGACGTCGCCCGGCACGGTTCGGTGGGTTCTGATCGGAACTCGAGGTACTGCTGTAGCTCTTCCAGTATCTCACACATGATCGACTCATCCTTCAATCTACAAACACCATTGTTTACTTCCATGTTCATCTCCTATTTTTCTGCTATGATAATTCTCTATCTACATCGATATGGTGAACTTTTAAGAGCACTTAAATTCACCTGACATACATGTAGCTGATCAGTATTTTTGTAACTAACTTTTTGTGGGTGGTAAATCGAAAATGAATAAATTAAAGGGTCAACACATAAGGACAAAACCTTAATCATAAAATAAAGTCCACCAGGAAATTATTGTCCAGTCAAATTTGCACCTTGTAAAATCCATTTTCGCACAATTAAATTTGCCTTTTGACGGTAAAAAATCCATTTTCGCACAATATTAAATTCGCCTTTTGACAGTAAAATTCATTTTCCCACAATATTAAATTCGCCTTTCACATTTAATAACTGTATATTATGTTATTTACAAATGTTCGGTGTTATGATAAATTAGCCTTCATTACGGAGGGCGAAAAAGGCGAAAAATTAAACTGCAGCGAACATTTCCTGGTATACAGAACAAAAATGTTGTTTCAACTCATAGGTGCATCTCATTTATTGCATTGCTGAACATACAAAAGTAAAATTTCCTTCAACTCAAAATGTGATTTGTCTACCATATATACCGTACTGTGAGCATTGTATGCCTGTAGTTTAACCCCTACCTGTCTACATATTCTGTACTGTGGGCGTCGCAGGCTTGTAGCATCTTGGTAAACTCTTCATCCAATCTCTCTACTAGAGTGAGAATACAGCCTCGTACTCGGTACGGTGATTGCTGTAAAAACAAGTTACAGTTAATGTTGTGTCAATGCTCTTTTATCCAATAGAATATAATAATATAAAACTTTTAACCATGGCGATTTTGTTTGCATATGTGTGAAATAATCTGAAGTTTTCAGGGTAAAATATAGTTGCACAATCAATGTTTTGAATCACAATTGAGAGTGACATTTACTCTCTATATACTACTTGTTCCGAGGACTCATTATTCATATATTACTTGATAAAAAAATAAATAAAGACTTTACAAGCCATTAAAAGCTCATTTTAATTACTGCTCTAATACACGAGATCCCAAATGTATCAATCTAGCTCAATAACGAAGAACCGGGTGAAGAGGAGTTGAGATAGGAACTATAAATTATTCCTCCATTACTTTAAGTGAAATTGTGATATTAAACAAACGTAATTCGTTAAAAATTCCAAGATGACTGCCTAGCAGCGACTATCTTTTTCTTGTGATAAGTTCCAAAAGTGAATATCATATACAAATATTAAGGACCAAGGGAAAGAAAGCAGCTTATGAAATTTGAGAAAGCTCTCTCTAGCATCTCTGAGAAATAATGATACCATATTTTAACAAATTCCAAGATGGTGATCTTGTTCTTCTAATCAGTCTCACAATCATATGACAATTATGGACCAGCGGTAACCTACATATGAAGTTCGACAAAGATCCGTCATGTACTTATTGAGAAGTAACAACAGTTTATAACAATCTTAAACAATCAAAATCCAAGCTGGCCTCCTCATAACCATCATGTTCTTCTGATCAGTCTTAAAATGAAGCATGATTTTATTGTGTAACTAAGGAGACAGGAGAACCTACAAATGTTTCTTGAGAAATCGTGATAACAAGTTTCAACTGTCAAAATCCAAGATGGCACCTGGCACCAATCTTTTTTGCACAATGCTATGGACCAAGCCTACATAATTATGAAATTTGTTCAAATTTGGTACTGATGTAAATCTTGCATATTTACCTTAACAAGTACTTTTTTCTCTTTTGAAATATTATAATGTAGCTTTAAATTTATCAGAATACTCACATCAAGGATTTCGCTCTCCTCCAAAATATTATCACCAATGGCGATGTCCCGGTTTTCGACAAGGACACCCAACAACTTTTTAATGAAGTTAAGACACCTGTAAAATCAAATCAAAGACTTACAGTTAAGGATGTTTTCTACCTTACCGAGACTTTAATTTCTCGCACCTCAGACAGAGATATCCCACATCATTCCACATGCTAGATTTTCCTATCTTGTCCAAACTGTCTGGTACCTTTACATGACATTTCGCTGGTTTTTTTACACACCGAGGTATTCATCCGCATTTGAACACCTCAAATTTGACAATATTCATTATACGTATTCTGTTTTGTCTTTACATGTATTGTTTTGATGTACGTAATGTAATTAGATATCTGATGTTGTAGATAAAATATATTTTACACTGTGAAATACGTTGTCTTCTTTGTAAGGACGCGCTATATTTTTACACTTAAACATTCAAATGTAGCTTTAGTAGTGTAGGAGTCATATTTAGTTGAGGCCCCAGATGAGATACTTGTAATCTTAAGCAAAAGTGAATAGTTTTTTCAAACTAAAAGGTGCGAGAAAAAAATCTATTACCTGTAACTGAGCAGATCGATTTATCTTCTACAAATGGTAATACGGATTTGATTATGACCTATCTAGGGGTGCAGGGCGTATAAGTGAGCGCAACCCCTGGAGTATTGCAGAGGATGTGCATGTGTATGGCGAAATGGCTGCTGTTTTAATAAAATCATTTTTGTCCAGCTTTCCAGTTATATAGCCAACTACTCGCTCAATTTGACTAAATTTCAAATGTTAACCTTTCTCTCTATATCTCAATATCAATTGTCATTTTTACCAATATCACAACGGTCGCGTCCGTCTGGATGAAGTGGTATGCACGTTTAAGACGTCCAGTGGTAAGTTACTGATGCATGTCTACTTCTAATTTTTTTTTCACCTTAATGTCTTTTATAATAAACACAATAGCAAGTACTATACATCAATATGCTGGACCTGATTCGAATGTGATGACACAATGTGACCATGGCCAGTACTCGTGTTGACAAATCTTCATTTTGGGCGTACATGTACATTTCAAACAATTGTAAAAAAAGTGCATTGATGAGGTTGCCTTACAAGCGTCAGCTGTAGATAATTTCCCTTAGGCTCAGCGGTAGAGCATCGGGCTGGAGAGCCAAGAGTCGCTGGTTCGAGCCCTAGCAACAACAAGTTTCTTTATCACTATCTCGCCCTACTACACAATAATTGTCAATTATCAAATGATTTTGAAGATCCGATCATCGATATTGAATGTTGTACTGATTCCCAACACTAGTGTGTATATGGTTCTCAATAACCTGAACAACGAACAGGTTGGCATACCTGAAAATATATACAACTGCCCAATATGAATATTTCAGGCACAGGTCAATGTGGCTGGTCATTTTGTTCTGACTAATTATCAGCAAGGTTCAAAGGTGAAACAAATGTATACATACACTTCCCACATCTCCGTCCTCATACAGGTGGCAATGTTAGGGTTGTAATCGTATATAGCTGCCAGGATGTGAAACATGATTTTTACGCTAATCGCTGGTCCGAGATTCTTCCCATCCGCAATGGCCATGAGTTCCTTTAGCAGCTCAATCTGTTCACTACGGTCTGTTCCCTTCTTTCCTCGGGCAGCAATGATTTCTGCCAGCTTTTTAACGACAGCTTCATGTGTAATGTCAGATTCTTTAGCAAACATAATAGTCTTTTCCTGGAAAAGAGAAAAAATTATTTAATAATATATCAAAATAGTTTATTTCATCATATATGTGCAATAAATGACTTCAAAATCACAAGTGTCTTCATAGATTTGGCACCAATTCTGTATAAAGCATAATTTTTTAGCAGTATCCTTATTTAAACATTTTTCACGCTTCAAATATTGAGCTAAATTAAGACTGAGCGAAGAAAAGTTTCTATATATAGCTTTCTATTTCATATTTTCTGAGTTTGCCAATGTATTAAGGGGCTAATCTATTGAAATTTGATAATACATTCAAATTTGAGTGCGCTAAAATCAGTATTATACGTTAATTTATACAGATGTCATTTACATAGTTTTGTAAGAATGACTGTTTATTTGTAATTTATCTTAATTCATTCATCAAATACAACCTTAGGGAGAGTGATTTTGTGAAACCTGTTCATATCTACAACAAATATCAACATCATGTAAATTTGTATTTCATCACTTTACCTAAACGTTATTGCAACCATTCATTTTCATTTTGGAAAACCCTTTCTTAAGATACCTTGAACAGTTTTGAAAACACATGATCAACTGAACATGACTTTTATGGCCACCATTCATTTAAGTTGAATGGTTTTGAAACGTCTGATCAACTGAAAATGAGAAGATCCATAAAATGGTACCGAGACTTTATGCAACATATAAATTATGTAATACTTGTGCTTTACCTGAACAAAGTTAAAAGGCATTCAGGATTTTGGAGACATGAACTATAAATAAATCACCTTAATTGCAGAGTAAGCTGGTTTCTTCACAGGTTGCCATTTGGGTCGAGACTCTTTCTTTGTCGCTCTCTCCTTCTTTCCTTCTTTCTTTGCGCCTTCTTCACCAGGTTTCCTAAATAAACAGAAATTCAATATTTCAATGGAACCAAAAATAAAGAGTTTCTGGGTTGTTCTTTTTCATTTTAAGAGGTCTTTCACTTTATGACATAATAATTATTTACAGTAAACCTCCTGTGAATTTGAATTGGCTAAGAAGCAACAAATTATTTTTTTAATGAAAATTGATAAGCAAAAAATGTAAGAACTACTTAACATTACTTATTACCAGATTATGAATATATATTGCTGTCATTGTCCTATATCTACCACTTGACTGTGGTCATTGTCCCATATCTGCCACTTGACTGTGGTCATTGTCCAATATCTGCTACTTGACTGTGGTCATTGTCCCATATCCGCCACTTGACTGTGGTCATTGTCCCATATCTGCCACTTGACTGTGGTCGTTGTCCCATATCTGCCACTTGACTGTTTGCTATGTTTGAGCTTCCATTTAATCTAGTAGCTATACTTTTGAGTAATTTGATCATGAACAGGTTTGACAAAATTTAAGTTTAATATTTTGGTCGAACTGACCAGACATTGGCTTACACTATCACAATTTTACCAAAAGCACATTGTATATTTAAAGAGATAAATATAATTTTACATTCCTTACTTTTTCAAGAACATGGCAAGAGTGTAACCTCCTGGTCCCACTTCCAAGTCATCATCAGATGACGATGAGTCTGTTTCTGACGAACTCCAGTCACTAAGTAGATCATCTTCATCATCAACACCCTGAAACAGAGATCAACAAGTAGAATATTTCTAAAAACAAGAGGCCCAGAGGGCCTGTTTCGCTCACCTGGATAATAAAGCAACCATGGCAAAATTATTCTTATCGCATGAAATCCCTCAAATTGAACAGAGGAAGAAGGATTTTAAAAATTTAAACCTAAAATTCCCCATTGGGCCCCGCAACTCTGCACCCAGAAGGGCTACACCCTCCATTTATACAAAATTTAGTCCCCTTTGCCAAAGGATAATCCAATTCAAATGTGGATAAAATCCCTCCAACAGTACAGAAGGAGAAGGATTTTAACGATTTTAACCTCAAATTCCCCTTTTGAGCCCCACCCCTCTGCACCCTAAAGGGGCCTCACTCACTGTTTATACAAAATTTAGTCCCATTGGCCCAAGGATGCTCTAGACAAAATTTCGATAAAATACCTTTATCCCTACGGTAGAAGAAGGATTTTAAAGGTTTTACCTCTTTCTCCCCCAGGAGGGCCAATGCCACCGTTTATACAAAATTGAATGATCTTGGCCTAAGGGTGATACAGACCTGGTGAGCTAAAAATGGTGAATTTGATAGTGAAGTAATAATATTGTTATAACAATGGAGAAAGAGATTTGTCAGTTTTTAAATAAGAAGTATTGTATAATACACCAGATTTGGTGACTACTTCATCTGTAAAGTTGAAGTATAGAGGAATTTAGAACTTGTCAGAGGGGGACTGACTACATCTGGTATAGTAACACAGAGCAGCTAATTATCCCTCTACTTATTGTCGGCACAAATCTACAACCCTTTATCAAACAATGACAAAAGGTATTTGATATCGGTGCCAAATTACTTAGTTCAGTGGAAAAATCACCTAAAAGATCCGAGTTTTTTTAAAGTGAATTTAGGACCATTATAAGGCCCTTTCCCAGGGGTTGTTTCTGTAGCATAGTAGAATCCCACTTCCTCAGACTTGCATTACTTAAATTCCTCGTTTATCAAACTCTGATTTATCACTGCCTGCCAAAATCCTTTAAGAGTTTTTATCCTATCTGTTCGCCAAACAGGTAGTCACCCCAGTGTACCACACCTACCATGTGGCATCAAAATTCCTTTCGAGTACTGCCCCTCTGCACCCAAAGGGACCACACTCATACAAAAAAAATAGAACTTGTCAGAGGGGGACTGACTGCATCAGGTATTATAAACTTGTCAGAGGGGGACTGACTACATCTGGTATAGTAACACAGAGAAGCTAATTATCCCTCTACTTATTGTCTGCACAAATCTACAACCCTTTATCAAACATTGACAAAAGGTATTTGATATCAGTGCCAAATTACTTAGTTCAAATGTTGACTTGAAATGTGGCAGTTAAATAACAACACAAGAGAACACTCTTCTAAAGTGTGCACCACTCCCAGGTTAATTGTCTGTCAACCTTCACGGCCATTTTGATTTTAGAATGACATACAAACAACAGCAATTTTGAAGAGATTTTTCTCTGAAGGAAAGATCACACAGAGATTCATTATAATGGAAAAATCACATAAAAGATCAGAGGTTTTTTAAAGTGAATTTAGGACCATCATAAGGCCCTTTCCCAGGGAAAGTTTCTGTAGCATAGTAGAATCCCACTTCCTCTGACTTGCATTACTTAAATTCCTCGTTTATCAAACTCTGATTAATCACCGATTGCCAAAATCCTTTTAGAGTTTTTATCCTATCTGTTCGCTAAACAGGTAGTCACCTTCTCACCTGATTAACACATGATGATGACGAACTAACCTTGGATTTATCAAATACCATGTATTCCTCAAATAATTAATCAAGACCCCATGAGTTCAAGATAGTGGGGTTCTACAGTATTTTTCCGAAATCAATGCAAAAAATCATTTCCCAAAATCACGCTTTTTGTACGAGACATTTTCCCCAAGTCAACAGGCACTGGTGCATGGCCCTTAATTATAAGGAAAAGAGGAATCATCATGAAACATGTGATAACAAAAATGAAGCAATCAAACTACTAGTACTTTGGAATAAGATATAAAATACACAAGATTTGGTGACAACATTTCATTTGTAAAGTTGCAGTGAAAAGGAATTTAGAACTTGTCAGAAGGGGACTGACTACATCTGGTATAGTAACACAGAGCAGCTAATTATCCCTCTATTTATTGTCGGCACAAATCTACAACCCTTTATCAAACATTGACAAAAGGTATTTGATATCAGTGCCAAATTACTTAGTTCAAATGTTGACTTGAAATGTGGCAGTTAAATAACAACACAAGAGAACACTCTTCTAAAGTGTGCACCACTCCCAGGTTAATTGTCTGTCAACCTTCACGGCCACTTTGATTTTAGAATGACATACAAACAACAGCAATTTTGAAGAGATTTTTCTCTGAAGGAAAGATCACACAGAGATTCATTATAATGGAAAAATCACATAAAATATCAGAGGTTTTTAAAGTGAATTTAGGACCATCATAAGGCCCTTTCCCAGGGAAAGTTTCTGTAGCTTAGTAGAATCCCACCTCCTCAGACTTGCATTACTTTCATCATAAATTCCTCGTTTATCAAACTCTGATTAATCACCGATTGCCAAAATCCTTTTAGAGTTTTTATCCTATCTGTTCGCCAAACAGGTAGTCACCTTCTCACCTGATTAACACATGATGATGTCGAACTAACCTTGGATTTGTCAAATACCATGTATTCCTCAAATAATTAATCAAGACCCCATGAGTTCAAGATAGTGGGGTTCTACAGTATTTTTCCGAAATCAATGCAAAAAATCATTTCCCAAAATCACGCTTTTTGTACGAGACATTTTCCCCAAGTCAACAGGCACTGGTGCATGGCCCTTAATTATAAGGAAAAGAGGAATCATCATGAAACATGTGATAACAAAAATGAAGCAATCAAACTACTAGTACTTTGGAATAAGATATAAAATACACAAGATTTGGTGACAACATTTCATTTGTAAAGTTGCAGTGAAAAGGAATTTAGAACTTGTCAGAAGGGGACTGACTACATCTGGTATAGTAACACAGAGTAGCTAATTATCCCTCTACTTATTGTCTGCACAAATCTACAACCCTTTATCAAACATTGACAAAAGGTATTTGATATCAGTGCCAAATTACTTAGTTCAAATGTTGACTTGAAATGTGGCAGTTAAATAACAACACAAGAGAACACTCTTCTAAAGTGTGCACCACTCCCAGGTTAATTGTCTGTCAACCTTCACGGTCATTTTGATTTTAGAATGACATACAAACAACAACAATTTTGAAGAGATTTTTCTCTGAAGGAAAGATCACACAGAGATTCATTATAATGGAAAAATCACATAAAAGATCAGAGGTTTTTTAAAGTGAATTTAGGAGCATCATAAGGCCCTTTCCCATGGAAAGTTTCTGTAGCATAGTAGAATCCCACTTCCTCAGACTTGCATTACTTAAATTCCCAGTTTATCAAACTATGATTTATCACCGACTGCCCAAATTGTATATTGATTACAATTAATGTTGACCTTAAAATGTGGCAGTTATAAATATAAACAAGAGGCCAACTGGGCCTTATTGTTTGTCTGACAAATACAATGTTAACACAAGAGGCCCAATGGGCCTGCATCGCTCACCTGGTATTAATCTCACACTTGTAACCTTAAAAGTGATCTAAAATAAAGCTACAGGTAGGCCTTCATCCCAGTTTGCTTCTGGCCAAATATCATCACGCTAGGCCTTGTGGTTATTAAGAATAAGTTGTTTGAAGTAAAATATTGACGCCGGACCACTGCATAATATAAGCTCACTTGGCCAGATGAGCTAAAGGTGAAGAAGACCTTCATGCAAACATACCTCTACTGGGTAACAGCATGGATTCTGTGCTCAAACCAACTTTCTTGCAACTTCCTTAAACCATGTGACATGTTCAAATTAAGAGTAAACACTGAAAAGTGTATTTGACTAAAAGTCTCCCCAATTTTTTTCCAAATCTTTGATAAAATGTGTTTTTTTTTATTAATTTATCATTGGAACAAATAATCGGACTAGAACAGAAGATCCGAGCTTGAGCATGAAAACGTTTTGATGAATACATGCCCAGGACTTATTTACAGTTACCTGTCTTACTCAGGTTATTTAAGTATTTGTTTTAACAAGCCAATGTTACACATACCTCCTGTTTCTGATAGACGGGACTGGCTTCAGGTACTACAGGAGCTGGAGCCACTTCCTCCGTATCCACTTCCTTCTCCTCAACAACTACAAAACAGGAAATCAGACCATTGATATGTTTGATAAAAAAAAAAACGGTTAGTGAAACATCAAGTCGTCTGTTTCAATGTATAACTACAAGTTTACTAAAGGTGATATGATTTCAATATAAATTCAATAACATCACATGTGTCATCTGAGTTTGGTACTGTTGGACTTCATATTGAAATATTACAAATAACAAAATTGGCATCAAATCAGCATGACATCAAAACAAGAGGCCCAATGGGTCTGAATCACTCACCTGATATTAATCTCACACTTGTAATCTTAAAAGTGGACTAAAATACAGCTACAGGCAGAATATCAGTGTTTGATTCATAAGAACCTATTAAAAGATTTAAACATATGACGCCTGTGACCTTGAATGTCGAACAAGGACACTAGGTTGAACAAAGATTTTAGTCTTCCAACCCAGTATGCTTTTGGCAAAATATCATTACCCAGGACCTTTTGGATATACAGAACAAGCCATTTAAAGATTTAAACATATATTGACCTCCGTGACCTTGAATATGGGCGAAGGTCATTCATTTGAACAAACTTGGTAGTCCTTCATCCCAACATGTTAATGGCCAAATATCCTCACCCTTGGCCTTTTGCTTATTGAGAAGTTGTTTGAAGGTTTTAAACATATTTGACCCCTGTTATGTTCCGAGCTCAAAGGATATATTAGCTTAAATTTCGATCGAGGGACAATTTTAACTGGGATAGTTCTTGGAGACAAAACTACCAAGGAACAGTTAATACAGTACTGGTATGCTTCTACACCTAAAAAGGTACATTCCTCAGCAAAAGTTTTTCTAGACCACTTCTCACAATAATTCATGCACTTTTCCAATGTTTTTATGAAACAATTCATTCCAAGTGAAAATTTAAATAGGGTTCAACACTGTCAAAGCCTTTATGTGTTATTAATTACAGGTGGTATCTTAATAAAGGTTCAGTTATTTTAAACCATTTTCATTAGGTTGGTAAATTCATATAGATGTACTCTGGTTCATTACCTTTTTCTTCGTCATCTTCATCGCCCTCATCAGGGTGCTGTAACAGACATATACAAAGTGTAGAAATGTTGAAATGGCTTGTCACAACACGACTTTGACATTTTTCAATTTCTTCAAAAGATTTTATATACGAGAGGGGGCACCTGACATAAAATTGTATGTATTGGCGATGGGAATCAATCCACACTAGCCTAGTATTGTTTATATCAAATTACTTTTAATATGTAATGGATGGTGGTAAGATTGGCATATCTTACAAAATGCTGAGACCCGGGTCTGTGACCCCCATTAGCAGTACTTCACTTATATTCTAATACATTTTTGAACTCACTTCCAACTTATTATTAAGGAAAATGCAAACTACTTATTTTTTCATATTCAGTTAAAATAGCCCTTAACCAAACCCAACTCCACTAGTGACCAATCTTTCTGTTGGGACGGTATGATCTTTGATTGTGATTTCAGTGTTGCATAGAAATGACAGAAATACATTGTTCACTCGTAATGTTAGAATTTATGAACAAGACTGGTTACTTACCTCTCTGTAGCTAGTTATTTGGTCATCAAAGTCACGGTTGTACTTGCGGAGCTTCTGCCGGAGTGTGGTCAGACCCTTGGCATTGTTCTTACTCATCTGTTTCCTGCCCTCTCGATCTTCCCAGCACTACAACCAATCACAACAACATGAGACAATCATTTGTCTCATTTTGGTAAGAAAACAGTAAAACTGCAAAATTTTGGAATTAGGCATCAGTAGGAAATAGTTTCAATTGGGAATAGAGACCATTTTTGGCCCAAAAAAGTCCTCCAGAAAAAACACTGTGTTTCAAATGTACACATAAAAAGTTACCTCATTAACAAATTCATCTAACTCTGACAGAGACCGGATATAGAACCTTGGAGTCCCGCCTTCTTTATCAACCACCTTCTTTGCTTTGTCATAGGCACGACCCAAGTCCTCAAAGCCTGAAATTAACATCAAGCAATGTCAATTACTGTAAACATTCATATTTTGGCGGTAGTCTTGTATAAATGCTGTTCACGCTTTTAATATTGTGCTAAAATTGAACTTCATGTATGCTGTTCTCTATTACATATTTTGTGAATGCACTAAATCTTCAATGCGCTAATCTGCTAACATTTGGTAACGCCCTTATATAAGCAAATTTACAGTATTTTCTTTAGGTTTTCAACTTTGCAGGTCTCAAAGTTTACAGTTTAAAAACTAAAAGATATTCATTGCAATTAGATTTAACAGAACAACACCCAATTGAAAGATGACTAATGTTATCAACCACAAAAAAATAAAATCAGTTTAATTTTGCACCATTACTATATGGACACAAATGTAGTGAATTAAATATTGAATACCCAGCAAAGGGCATTAATAAATTACAGCTATCTGAAACCTCAATTTTATAAGACCAATTGCATTGGTTATCGCAAACATCTAATATTACTAAATTGTTTGTTTTTCTTAACAATTCCTTGATATGTTTCTCCCCATATAATGCCAAAATCTCATTGGGCAAATAGTGGTAGTAGAACAAGGTCTTACCAAGTGTTCAATCACTACAAGCTTATATATTTTATAAAACTGTTACACTCACCTGACAAAACCTTGGACATATCCTTGATCTTTTTGTGGTTTCCTATTAATTTAATGATCTTTCGCAGTTCCTCATACCTACAAAATATTTTCGAAGTATATTGTCTGATGCTTTGTATTCTTTGCTTGACAAAAAGAAACAGACATTTCAAAAGCTCACTAAAAAGTTTTCAATTACTGTTTGTGCTCTAACCTAGCATCTGTATGTCAATAGTGTATCATTTGCATATCATTACAGATTTAAATATTCAAATGTAGATGGACAGACAGAATGACACCAGTAAAATGACGACAGTATATGCTTCACCAGTGGGCGTGGAGCATGAAAAGATGATGTCTATTTTTTGTGAAATTAAAGCTTGAGAGAAGATTTTTCACACTTGCTGAAAGAGCAATTATTGTACCTTTTGTCTTTAGCACTGCGTACGACTCGAGTCTGTTCCTCTTCATCGTCACTCAACTGGAAAGCACTGGAAACAAAAACTCTTGATTCAACATGCGAAACATTTCCACATTCAAACATTTCCACATTCACTGAACATTTTTTTTCTGAGACAATTATCCCTCCTTCGCTTCAAAGAACTGAAGTCAATTTTAAACGAAACTATGTAGTAGCCCTCTTTTGCTTCAAAGAACTGATGTCAATATTAAATGAAACTATGTAGTAGCCCTCCTTCACTTCAAAGAACAGAAGTCAATTTTAAACGAAACTAAGTAGTAGCCCTCCTTCGCTTCAAAGAACTGAAGTCACTTTTAAACGGAACTATGAACAAAAGCATGTCATCATTTACATATTTACACTAACAAATTTAGAATCGTTCATGTTTGATTTTTTTCCACTTAACAAATTGTCACCATAAATCTTGAAAACATTCTACATTACATGCTTATAACCACTTTCGATCTCTTTTTATTCTCCTGTATCTCTATAGATATTAATCAGACTTAAAAATCAAAACAACTACTTACAGAGGCCGAACAGGCCTATCTTTCGGTGGCGCGAATGCTTGCTCATCGTTATCACTGGAACTGTCCGACTCTGAGTCAGATCCTCTGAAGAAACGTCCCGCCATGATTATCTAGATTTCTGTGAAACCATCAAACACATATTAAAAAAACAAAAGTGAAGGCAGTTGGATTTATCTCATAAACTCATTGATCTATTCATCTAATAATATTCTGTTCCGTTACAAATTCTTACTCAACTAGAGAGGAGTGTGTGTTGTTATTTTGTACTGATCATTGCCTGGATGTATGCATTGATGCATGATTGGTAAACTAGACTATGCATATGAAGATTGGAAGTCTGTCCCTGTTCAGTAGAGGAAGGCAGCCTTCTAATGCTTTTTGTTTGTTTGTTTGATTTTGTTTAACGTCCTATTAACAGGTAAGGTCATTTAAGGACGGCCTCCCCTGTGTGCAAGATGCATGCTTGTAGTGTATGTGTGTGTATTTTGGGAGGCTGCGATATGTTCGTGTTTGTCTCCTTGTGATAGCGCGGAACTGATGCCGACTTTATAGTGCTACCCCACTGAAACATACTGCCGAAGACACCCAGCAGGACACCCCACCCGGTCACATTATACTGACAACGGGCGAACCAGTCGTCCCACTCCTAACTTGCTGAGCGTTAAGCCTTCTAATGCCCGAAGTCCCTAAAGCTTGTTGGAACAAATCATCCACAATGGATACCATACAGACTGACAATAGTAGTTCACCTAATCCTATTAGAATACCAATTTTGTGTTGTTATATTTCTTTTCATCCTGTTAGTCTGAATGTGTTTTAATTCATTTTTGTAATATTAATCTTTCGTTCCTATTAGTTCCCTATCCAAAATACAGCAGTATTGAAATATTTATTTAGCTACAAAATTGATGATGTTCCAAATTACATCATCTTGAGGTTATCCTTCAAATATATTTCATTTACCATCTATGTCTCAGCAGGAGCTCTTTCTATGGTCAGCAGATCTAGACCTGGTCAATGTCATTTTGCTAGACGATTCTTTCATCTAAGTTAACGTTCTTCTTAATGAATATTCAAAAGGAAAAGATGACCATGACAACGTCATGCTGGGTATAACCACTTTAATCCAAGCTATGTTGACTAGTTTCAGCACATGAGGCGTTTCGTCATCAGAACCGTTATTCTTAATGGTTCGAGATACTTGATGGTTTACAATTGAGGTAAATGCACAGGATTATGAAAATGAAGACCTAAGTTGTTGTACTTTTAGCAAATTTTCAACCATCAAATTGACATGATTTGGCTACAATATAAAATAATAACTTGTGCTTTAGTACATTTGTCTTCACTCAATAGACCACCACTCAAATACGACCATCAATCTAATCTTGGTCTGTTTAATTTGGAACATCATCATCAATTTTGTAGACATTCTGCATTGGCACCCATAAGAGGTTTTGATACAAAAAGGAAATATGTTTTGGTACTTCTGATAGATATTTAAATTAAGTGTTAATGATACCAAATACATATTTCAATACTGCTGTATTTTGGATAGGGAACTAATAGGAACGAAAGAATAATATTACAAAAACAAATTAAAACACATTCAGTAAGACTAATTAGAGGATGAAAATAAATATAACACAAAAAAGGAAACTCACTATCAACACACAGTATCAGGACGGAGTAAAGGACAAAAAGAAAACATCATATTAAAACAAAGATAGCTCAGGATTTATTTTCCTGTATGTATATTTTCCCAGGTGCGGAAACATTTTTTCAAACTTCTGCAATCATGTACATGCCAACTCCCCACTATTTTCCCTTAAATTTAGCATTTTCAACCAACGAATTTGCTAAACTATTCCTATATTATAAGATCTAATGATTTCATCTGAAAGAACAACTAAAAATATGTCATGTAAAGGGTGATTTGGCTCTAGGAGGTACAAACACTTTACATTGAGGTTTTAATCTTGAGCATGCAGAATCTTCTCCATGGACATTTTCAAAAAGTTTGCAAGTACAGTGTATATGTGCAATGACTCTTCTTTCCGTTCTCAATTTCAAACCCTGGTGCCCACAGTTGGTACGTATATACGTATATATATACCCCCTCAACAACTGACCCTCTGATCATCTAGAAAACTTGGGGCTGCTCGACTTACCGGAAGAGTCGGGATCTACTACAGCTATACATGCTCAAGTCACTTCACCGTGACATTTTGGAATGCAGAACCAAATTAAGACAATTTTTTGTCTAAAATTCCTCCAAACAATTTATATTTAATTACAAATTATAATTTCATTCAGTAACTTTCAAGAAACTACTTGGTATGTATACCGAAATGTCTTGAATTCCTAAAATGCCCTTTCCGACCGACAACAGAGTAAGGGAAACAACACTTTTTTTGGATAATTTCACAAGTCACATGCATTCAGAATGAAATATTTGACAAACTTATTTTTCCTCACCCATGATTATGCTTAATTTCAACAACATACCTTCCGGTATCTAAGGTAGGAAGACAATTTTATAATTTTCATTTATCCAACACATATACAGGTCCAGTCCACTCTGCTGATTGAGCTATATAGCTATAAAGACCTATATATAGCTATATCCACCTATAAATTCTAGCTGTATTGAGCTATATTTTCTCAGATTTCCATTTTCATTAAAGTAAAGCAAAGTCCCATAAACAATAAGGATTATGGTAATGTTGACTACAAAAAGCATAGTAACATGTTTATTTTCATTTTTCATAAATGTAAAATTTCTGAATTTTTAAATCATTATTTTTGAAAAAGAATACTTACATTTAATATCTTTTGTTATCAACCTCATGATACAATCTTCTTTTAATAGTGACTTTGTTTCGTTTTCCTTAAAAAAGAAAATCACTTGAAAATAGCTAAAAAGACCTATTTCAGATAGGTCAATAGAGCTATTTAATATATGTCTTTACAGCTATATAGCTCAAACACAGGGGCTTGTATAGACTTATATATATATATATATGCATTTCAAGCTATTTTTATCATGTAAGTCTATACAAGCCCCTGTAGCTCAATCGGCAAAGTGTATTGGACCCGACATATGCCTGTATCTCTGGACAAATTCAAGAATGAAGTACAAATGATTGCATAAAGTGCCAAGTCACCAACATAAAATTAAATTGAACTCAGGAATTTCAACAAACAGACACTTGAGAATATTTTTCGACTCCTTAAAATCACCCGCCTTCGACCCTTGGGTCTCAAAGGACACGGCTATTTGACATGTTTTGTTCCCCTAAGTTTGAAGGTGGACTATCTTTGACTTCTGAAATTGATAAATGTTATGGGTCAACTTAAAGCCCTGTTATTGCATTAAAGGCATGTTAAATTGCATCAATCAAAACGACCCCCCCCCCTTTTTTTCTCTCTCTTAATCAGTTCAGAGACACCGGCTCACCGTATTGTGCATTGTACGAATGATATACCGAGCTTTTATGGCTATCTTAACACACTTACCGATAGTTATTTGTATATATTAATGTTTGTATTTAAATGATCCAATATTGTTTTCATAAAGCAGTTCATGAAGATGAAAATATACAGCTGCTACGATATTATATCCGACTCAGTCGTGAGAAATGGCGCATGCCGAAACCACATGGATTGTGTTCTACGTCATCAAAATTTGCGTAGTGTGTTCTAAACTGGAAAAGGGAAAAAGGAACATTCCGGATTATTTAGCAGACTTTCATTTATCTAAAAAAGAATACAGTCTAAGACAAATTGATATATTTTGTTATTTCTCGGTCACCACGGAATACCATTTAACATGCACAGACGCGTACGCTGCACATAATACTCGAAAGAGAGTGTTGCAGAATAGATAGATGGATAGATACAAAATGTAGATAGGCAAATCTCATCCGAGCAACCTTTTTCAATCTCGGAATCTAAGTTTTCATTACTGTCAATTCATTTCCATTTAGCTTACATATTATAGACATAATCAGAAACGCCGGTATAAGGCCACGTCTCTGCCATACTCAATACGGTTCATACATCAAAATAGCATATGAGGCTAAGTGTAATAAGTCTAAGTGTATAGTGTAAACATTTCAATGATGCATGCTTTTTTAGTAATGCTGCTTCAGGGGGGAACAACTCTTATCGAACAATAATGTACTGTCAACTCACAGTGGCACACAACTACTATTAGGCCTATTATTGATCTTGTCAAGTTAGACAGCTTTCAGTCGCTGGGTACGTTATATCCCAATCCAACGTACCCAGCAACTGAAAGTCTAACAAGGTCAATGTTAATAGTAGGTACGTGCAACTGTGGTCGGCTTTTAAAGTTAAATAAAAAATAAAAATACACTATATATCTCAATTCACATTTTATTGATAAAGTAAATGAATTGGCATCTTTGACTAGCAATAAAAAGTCAAAAATAAAAACGTTGACACACATAAACATTCATTTTTCATCGACCCGTTAAATATCACTGTATAATATAAAATATGTAATATGCAATATTTTGTTTCGAAAGACGATATATGTTAACCGTTGCGAACAGGGGCGGGTCCAGGTGAGGGCGTAATGGGCGTTTTTTTTTTTTTAAAAAAAGCCCCCCCCCTTTTTTTTTAAAAAAAAACCGTTACATTAGTGCATTTCACAATTATTTTAGCAAAAAACAGGTCCAAAAAAATGTTCGCCTCGCTCCGTTCGGATAAAGATTTGATTCTCCGCCCCCTCTTTCAAATATCCTAGAAACGCCCCTGGCGAAAAGACGATAAATACGTTTTCCCTTTTTTTCCGCGGTGAAATATCAAAATAAGGACGTAGCATGTATTAATTACCATATAATTAAAGAAGGGGAGGGGGGTGTTAATATGTATACTGTAGATATTTTTGAAGAAAAAGTCGAACAGTCAGCAGATTGGAATTTTTATGAGCTTCATTTACTTGAAGAAACAATCTACTACATACGTCGCGAAAGTTTCCGGAGGATATTTGATACCATACACCCATACATTTAATCTTTTCCTTTTTATGCAGCAGAATAACTCCAAAAATCATTCATTTGATTCAGAAACACCTGTTATGATCATTACACACACCCTGCAGTAACTATAGGAGATCATTTGACCACAGGATTTGATATAAGAACACAGTTATACAGTTGCTTAAACGCTTCCTATGTTTTATCACGGGAGAAACAACAACAAAAAAGGCAATAATGCGTTGGAATTTTACATAAAAACTGGATTATTTGGATGTCGCAGACGATCTAATTCTACACGCAGTGACACATGATCTCGATACTCCAGGGGTTACGTTCACTTACGCTCTCTGCACCCCTGGAATATGTCATAGTAAAATCGAAGGCCCAGTACGTGTTCACCACCTTATGGATGAGACGAGAAGACAAGTCTAATCCTTTAATGAACATCAAAAGAATCTGTCGGTCACGTAACGGTAAAAATGACTGGTTTTAAATTGATTGAATTGTCTACCACAAACATTTTCTTTTTAAATGTGTGATTTTGTGATTTGAAAGACCGCTCCTATATTATTCAATAGAAACATGAAAACATGATACACATATTCAAAGAAAGATGACGGTGCAGTATGAAAAATAAAACAACATTGTACTAGTAATATGACCGTTTCGTCCATTAAGGACTCGCTTGTCGGTCTATCTATCGGAAGCCCTACCCAATGTAAACAAATGAAATGATACATATCAATAATTTAATAATTTCGGCTTTGCTCAGCCAATAATGATATTGGAAAATGGTTGGTCGTATATTTTATTCAGTAGTGAAAGCTATTAAATGTCACCCTCCATTTATTTTGTATAATTAGCAGATAGATTGCATTGTCTACCACAGACTTTTGTTTTAAAATGTGTGATTTTGTGATTTGAAAAACCGCTCCTATATTATTCAATAGAAACATGAAAACATGATACACATATTCAAAAGAAAGATGACGGTGCAGAATGAAAAAAAACTAACAACATTGTACTAGTAATATGACCGTTTCGTCCATTAGTGCTACCAACGGTAAAAAAAACACCACATCAACTTGGTTCATACCCGATTGCCACAGCGTTGACATCAAAACGTAACCCAAGCCAGGTATGTATAATGCCAAGCTCATTTATTACCACATTGAATGATATTCAATGACACATTATCCATTTTCATGCGTCGGTCTTAGTCACATGGGGTTTGAGTTTTCATAAACAAACCGATGAAAAGTTCGAAATATGAATCATCAGTTTGGTATGAATAATAAAGGCTTAGTTTGTAAGAACACAAACAGGATTGAAAACTTGTTTCGCGAGCTTTCGTAAACGTCTGTCTCCTTTGTCAAGCAATAAGTGTAAAACAAAGATAGTCTAGCCCTAGTCAAGCAATGCTTTACACTCTCTGCTTGACAAAGGAAACAGACTTTTCCGAAAGCTCGCAAAAATAAGTTTTCAATTCCTGTTCTTGTTCAAAACAAACTTAGCCTTTATTGATGAAAAGTTATAAGGGTTGTAGATTTAAAAATGTATTGTAATATCGTAACATCTTTTTTAAATAACATTGACATGTTATCGATGTAAATAATATTTCAATTATGTAATTATCCTGGAGTACTTAGTAAAATCTTCACTTGAGGGTATGACAGAGAAATATCCTACTTGAAGGTTGATTTATTTGGTTGTCCTACCCGGTACGAAAAAACTTACTTGTAATCTCTTTGAGTGTTAGAGATTTGTCTGTTTCATTTCCAAGGTTGGGGATGCTTGCTTTTCTCTAATCTTATTATTTTAATAACTTTTCAGCTTACAGCTGTCATATTAATAAATGAAGGCATATTTTGCGTATGAGTATTCGCCATATACATGTTTGTACTTTTTATGGCCTGATAATAGTATTCAGTATTTTATGACGTCATAATTTAACATGTGCTATTCTGCATGATACTAAATTACCATAGGGGGAGACAACTGATTTTTACCGAAAAGAACCGGAGACACAGGTATGAAGGAGGAGGGAAAATGTCTTTCCAAGGGGGTTTGTCGATCATTAAGACGTTGCAAACAGTGTAAACTTGCAACGAATACCTGAATGAGTAAATGTGACGGGTATCCCGAACCGCGGGAACTTTTCAAAACTTACCGAAGCGGTCAATGTTAACATCTGGATGCACAATATCAGGTTAGATAAAGTTAACTAGAAAACAATACGGCAATCCTTATAATTTCATTTGAAACACAAACAGTATTTATAAACAAGGTACTTGTCATCTGTTCAATTTGGACAAAAAGCAATAGCACATCAATTTTTATATCGTATTTAACCAGGAAAGGCACAAAAAGAATTTTGAGAATATACTACACAATCTACCAAAAGTAAAAATAATTATATAAGGCGTAGTATAAATATACATACGTTTATAACATGCATTTCCTTTACAAGAGCGTGCTGCACTTTCTTAACATGTTGAAGAGAAAATGACATTCAAATGGCATTCAATAAAGACAAAAAATACAAATATTTTAATCAATGATATTATAAACATATTGACATAATGCATTCAATTTCTGTTTCGGAACTGTTTTCAAAACCACAAACATTTTATATTCATGTTATAATTATTAACAAACAATATGATGCATGTCTCAATATCTTTGGTGTTAGTTTTCATTAAGTTAAGAATGACACGACCTTTCTCTATTGCTTTTTGAATAGCATTTTTTGCTACATTTAATATTGTTTACTTTTCACATAAAAACTAAAATTCGTTTAGCAAGTTTCTTACTTATTATCTCAGAAAACGGTAAATATCTTTGATGCTGGACCGTATGGAAAGTTACTCCTAGGTACTTAGCGGGATTTAAAAAAAAAATGGAATTCCAATTAATTGTGAGATTTTGTAAGCTTTAATTGCAAATAGGGAACAATGGTATGTCCTTTAACCTATACGAAATTATCAAAAAAACGATATTTCTTCTTCACTACATCAATTGTGTATTTAAATCGGGAAGCAATGCATAACGCAGATAGGAAAACTACAGATTATCAATTATGTTGAAGCCAAACGATACAGAAGTCATCCAGAAGTCAATTAAGAGGAGTTGTTTTGCAAAGTTAACACCAAACATACTTTTCAAAGAACAAGCGTTGTATACGTATAGGCTTCCTTTATATACATTGTTGAACCTTTCCATTGTTGGTAAAATAACAATTGAAATAAAACGTATTGTTTTTAAATTCAATTTTGAATACTTCAACAGACAACTGTTTATCAAATATCAAGTCTACCTTTTTCAGGATATTTGACAAACAGTTTATTGCCCCGAACCGCTTGTTTAGTTTCATATTTACACAACCAAAGCAACACTTACACAATTCTTCAATATATGTACAAAAACACCCCTGAATATCATGTAATTTATAGCTTGTTACTTGAATTTTGAAATAACACGGCATGCGTTTTGAATTATCACTTAAATATTACATCTATGTCTTCACAAAAAATGACTTCGAAATTATTGTACAGGTTTAATGTTTATTATAACACGTTTTAAGTGATTGGTAATCAATTAAAGTATAGAAGTTCTTATAGAAAACGAGACAGTCATATTCTGATTGATCAGAAAACAATCTTCCGAAACGAAA